AGCATGCGCATGCGCACGAAGGCTCCCATGTGGGAGAAAATCCCACGTCCTGGCATCACTGCCGTGGACTGTCCAGTCTCTGATCATTTCTGATCTGTGCTGTATACGATTGTATAGGAGTTAATTAGAGTTAATTGTAAGAGATTTTTATTGAGTTCCTTACGAAACATTATAGACTGTCGTGTAAATGTAATTATTTTATAGATTTTATATTTTAAAATAGAGCAATGAATTCAAGCAAAGCAAAGTTATCGAAAAGTATACTGGAAATGAAAGTAAGTTAAAGAGGTTAAAAAGCTTCTACGGATTTCAATGTGTATAACAAGAAATTGTATAAAAAAATTATTTATTTTATTAATTTGTATATTTTTTATGTAGTTTATGAAACGTACTAAAGAAAAAGTAGAAAAACAACAATTTCAAGAAGAAGGTGAAGAATATTTTGGAAATGAAGTCACAAAACGTATGAAGAAGGAATCGTAAGATTTTTTTAATTTTTTGAATCATGTAAAACTTTAAACAAATACTAAATTAGTTTATGGAAAGATTAGACTTTTTGAGGACTCAATAAATTTCTAAACATATTTTGGTGGTAAAATGTAGATTACTAAGTTGCAGACATTTAATATTCATGTATATAAATCTATAAGTAGTTGTTTTGATGAAATAAAAGTTTATTATTTTTAGTAAGATGTGTATCTGTATAAAGATTTATAAATGAGGTAGAATGAATCAATAGTCTTGTATTAAAATAAAAATAAATAGTTTATGTTATATAAGTGTATAACATATATTTTTAACAACTTTAAATATTAAAGAATTAATATCTTATTTGTTCATTTTTTATTTTAGTGAAAGATTCATCATTGAACCTAGTTACATCTTTTGTGAGAAGTTAATTGATGGCAGAGTAAGTTATCAGGGAATGAATCCTGAGGTGGAAAAGTTAATGGAAGCTGAAGAAAAAAATAAATGTGTTTTATTGGATATAAAGAATGATACAGATATTTCAGATGAACAAATGGTAGAACATTGGAAAGGCTTAAGGACTAAAATAAAATCTAAATACACAAATGTAGAACAAATACCAAAAAGTAATACTAAATGTGAATCAGTGCCAAAGAAGCCAAAATATTTAAAGCCTCAAGATTAATATTAAATATTAATTGTTTGTACATATTCAACTATTGATTGTAATAGAACTTTCTTCATAACATTTATCTGCTTAATTTATAACCTTTGTTTTAAGTACTTTGTAAACTCTGTACATAGTAGAAAAATATAAACAATTTGTACTTCTGTATGTATAGTTGAAATAAATGTTATATTTGAAAAATCTATTTTTTATTTTGTTTGTAGTATACAGTAATTCTGATAAAAATAACGTTATTTTAAATGGTTATTGAGAATTACAAATTATTTTTATTAATTGTATTATTCTGAACAAGCAGTTTTCTAAGAGTTTTCCCAAATAAATTCTGTGTACCATCTTTTTCTAAATCTTTGATCCCAAAGAAAATTGGAACTGTTGTCAAAAAATTCAACTCCAATACTTTCAAATATAGTTTTTATTTTTCCTTTGTTACGAAGCTATAGGAAAGTATTCATAAATGTACAATGTTATTATACTTAGAACCTTATACGTGCATCTCAAGATGTTTCTATATAGATTAATACATACTTTTAAACATACTTTAGTAAGATCGATATAGCTTAGCCCATATAGTTGTTTCATCATCTCAAGTTCCAGGCTTGACTTCTGCTCTAAGAGTACCTAAGAAAGCAAATGAATTGGTGTGATAGTATAAATATTTGGCCTTAATGGTGTTAGTCTGCAATTTGTAATTTAAAACAAAAGCTCATTCCTTCAACTTTTTCAATTCTAACTTTATTCTAAATTCTAGATAATTAATAGTTTATTATAAAGACATGTTATTTTAATATACAAGATAATTTTAGGAACTGGGCTAGGTATAGTATTGTTGCAAGTGAAGATAGAAAAATTTTACAACGTCCTTTCCTTCCTCCTTATCTTTCAGCGGACAGGTAACACTGCTCTTTTTTCGATATTCTTTCAAAATTCGTATAAATAAATGCTTTTCAATATCACTATAATGCTTTTTTGTTGCCATATTTTTAACACAAAATACTTAGAACGTGGTACACATGTGGGAAGAATAACGAAACGCAATGCAGACGTATTTTCAAAATCATTTCTCATTGGGTGGTACAGCGGAAAGTTTCCGATGTTTGCCGAAGGTATTAATAAGGTTTGCTTAAGCATTTGCTTGACTAAGAAGTTCTTAAGCATCTACGTATTCAATAAAAACTTCTTAAGTTTTTACTCTGAATACACGAAGTCTTAAGTTTACCTTATTCGAATAAGGCGATTTTTGTTAAGAAATTCGTAAGCAAATGCTTGAGGCGCGACTATGAATCCATAATACTTCTGACCACAAGAGCGTGGTGATATATTTTCACACTGAATCGATAACGTTAGGTATTGACACTGAAATGGTAAGGGGGCTTCTGACGCCCTGGGAGTATGGAACAGAAAATTACATTGCATGTTAGGTCTATTCTTATATCTCGTCTGTGGTGATACCAGTCTATGGTGATTAGAGAATCACCAACGGTGATTTATCACAAACTTCAATAACGACCGTGATTGCGATTTTTTTATTTTGAGTGAATTTGCTCACTGCGATCGTAAGTCCTTGATATTTCAACAGAAAATCGTATTCAATATGATTTTACGATAAATTACATTACTATTCGTGTTTGTAAAAATCAGTAGAAAAGAACAAGAAATTCTAAAAGAAAGATATGTTAGGTAACATGTACATTATTATTTATAGTCATTAATTTATTCATTATTCTTCATTGTTTTTAATTATTCCTTCACTTTATACGATATAACTTGAATTTTTGTTTTGATGTCGTTAATATAATCTGTCCAACATGTGGCCCGCGAGTCATTTCGCCAGACGATGCGGTCCCCACCATCACTCAGTCCATTCAGTGCAATTCAGTGGGCCACTACTCGGCGAGTAGTACTTACTAAGTACTACTTAGTAGTTAGTACTCGCTTGCGCTGCGGCTGCGATGCGATCGTGGGGCAAGAGGTACGTGCACGGTGACTGCAGGTAGGAATTTGTGGAGCGTCCGAAGTGGGGACAGTCAGAGCATGTACACACGCTTTCTTGCCTCTATACGTTGAGCTTCTTGTGGATATAGAGGGGGGTCATTCCCCTCACGGGTGTACAACTCAGAGGTTTTTCTTGGTCGATTTGCAGCGCCATTAGTGATAAGGGCCGGTACTAAAACGAGTGCCGGATATCCGGGACGCGTTTGAATTTCGGAACGATTTATAATAGACGAGACAGTGAATGACTGGCGGTTACTGTATGAGATCGTGTATGATAAATTTGAGTTGTAATAAATTTGATATTAGGTGTTCGCAATTTTAAATGTGTTTATTAAATTTATTACATAATATACGTATATTATGTAATAAATTTAATAAACATGTTTAAAACTGCAAACAACTAACATTATATTTATTATAACAAATTTATCACACACGATCCCATACAGTAACCGCCAGTCACTCACTGTCACGCTCAAAATTTAACATGATATAGAGAGACTATGTAATAAATGTAATACAGATTTAAAATTTCGAACTAATAACAAATTTATTATAATAAAAAATTTACCATACACAATCCCACATAGTAGTCACCAGTTACTCACTGTCATGCTAAAAATTTTACATTACATACATACAGTATACAGTCAGTTATTTCCTAAAGTATTTGAAATACCAGAAAACTCTCGTGTTTCAAATAATTTAGGAAATAAGGGACTGTATACTGTATAACACAAACAATACATACGATACATGCATACTACATTCTTCTATACTTTTTTACATAATAGTCCCTAGCCATCTTGCACACACAATCATGCACGCCACATTCATCAAATGACTGCTTTATATCTGAAAAATAAGTGAAAATGACTGTAAGTATGTGCACACATAAATTTCATAAAAATTGATTTAGTCTATAATATAAACAAACTTACCCAGTTCCTCAAACTGGCTTTCTGCAGTCAGAGATGTGCCATCTTCTGATTGCACCATTTCATCTAAAAAATAAGTAATATTGAAGGAAAAAATACATTTGCATGTAAGTTACATAAAAATAAAACATAATACTTATTCTTAGCCTTTAAAATGAAGTCGTCCTTTCTTGTGGAAAAAATACATACCTGGCTTGAACTCCCTCCACCAAACGTGTTTTATCCACCGAGTACATAGCACTACATAGAAGTACATGTGTCGAAAAATACGACTTTAGCACCATTGGTGATAAGGGCCGGTAGCTTATGACTGACCATACTATTCTAATGGGAGTTAACAGGCCGTGATTCCCCTCGGCTGAAAGAGCAAGCCGGTAGGGGCGATTATCGATTTTGGCCCGCGGGCCACAAATTGGATAGGCCTGAATATATAAAATATACAGATTATGTGTCGCGTGTAAAGAACTGTTAAGTTTCTTCACCAATTAGAAACGATTACGAGAAATCACGAGTAATCACTGAAAAATCACCGTAATTGGGTACGAACGTGATCGAATCACGAGTGATTCACAAGTAGCAGTTGACGCCATCTCTAGCGGTGATACATCATCGTTAGTGATTTTGAATACACACTCCCGCGATAACGTAACGACTTAACATAAATTTAGTACACTAAAATTGCTACTAATTATTTTAGAAATAGTGATGTTTCTCAAAAATAGTATACATATATGTAGATTTTGTGATTACAAATCAGATTCAATTACACGCATGTGTTACATATGTAATCATATGACTACTAGATATTGAATATTGAATATAACATGTAAAATATTTGCACTATAATTGTATCCTGTGTGTTCAATTTGCTATTTTTATACCCATATTTTCAGTAATAGCATATTGTGTATACTAATGCATGTATTTCTTTCTTTGACATATAGGTTATAACACTGTAATGAGTGTTTCTATCTTATATAATATGAAGCAGAATATGAAACCCGCACTTATTGTGTAGGGTAACCTGTAAGAAAACTATACAAAAGAATTGTATACTTATTTATACTGTGCACATACTGTGTATGTCCATAATAATTCTGGTTATAGAAAAATAAAAATTAATGTGAAACTCTAAGTAGTAGTATGTTTACACAATTATCAGTAGTAACATATTCAGGTATAGGAATTATGGCGACGATGTTACGGCAGTATATATTGCCAATAAATATGAAAATGAATCTGTCTACACAATCTAAAACTCATTATGATACATTGAAATTGTCTCCAAAGGCCACGCACAATGAAATAAAATCAGCATATTACAAATTAACATTGGAATATCATCCTGATAAAAATAAAAGTGAATCTGCAAAAGAAATATTTCAACAACTTTCTGATGCATATGAAGTACTTGGTAACCATAAGTTACGCAAACAGTATGACAGGACTATTGCAGTTAAACGTATAAATATAGATGAAATACAAAGAACCTCAAGTCGACAAGAACATACTGTTAAATCAACAGATAAAATATATAACTTTGATGAATGGTCTCAAGCACATTATGGGCTGATTTTTCAAAAATCTATGTACAGAAAAAGTCAACGTGAAGAGTATTTAAAGCGTATGAAATGGCTGCATCAAGACGAAAAATCATTGACAAGGAAAGTTAATCTTGCAGCAATAATTACTATTTTAGTTTTTATTTGTCTATATATATACGATAAAGATACTGATAATGATAAACCAATAAAATAAATATAATTGATATCAACAATACTTTTAGCAAATTTGTGTTTCATTAACTTAAGATGGTATTATGTAGAAATATTGTTATTAAAAATAATATTATCCAAAGTATATTTTATTAATCCTTGTTCATAGATGTCAATATATTAGAATATTTTTATTTTGACAAATTTCTTCCAAAATTTTACATTCAGTAAATAAATAACGAGATTATAAAGATTTTACATATTACAAACAATCATGTTCAAAAATATTAGATTGAATACCAATTAATAGACATTTGTATGAAATGAAACCCCTGTTAAGATGTAATATTTCAATTTTCAACGTTTTCTCTTACGAATTATTTTATAATTAAAAGTAATATGAATATTTGTGCTGTGTTTTGGTATAAATCTTCAAAAAGACATGGAAACAATGTAGCGTCTTTATTTTGTAAGATATAGTTATTCAGAGTACATAGTTTTAATTAAATAGTAAATATTACTCTTTTGTAAGAAATAACGGATTTCATAAGCCTCAATTCAGTAATTTAATAGGGCCTATAATGTGGTAAACCAGATGGCACGGGCATAGGCATAGAAACAGGTCCAGTTGGATAAGGAATTGCAGGTGCTATACCAGGAAAATTAGCAGCAATTGGATAACCAGGACCACCAGAGGAATGGGATTTTCGTATTATCTCTTTTAACTTATCTACTTTTACTTTACGTAGATGCATTAATTTTCTTCGTGACAGAAATTGTTCTAAAAATTCATCTACTTCCATGTCACCAGCCAAAAATTTCTCAGCAATAGTCTGTACATTCATAATACAACAGAATTATTTTAAGTGGGTTGTGCATATATTACAATTTTAATGATTGTTAATATTATACATATTATACCTCTGACTCTTCCTCAATTTCAGCAGCAGCTGTCTGTAATAGATCTAAAGCTGTATCGACAGTCATTTCTCCAGACTTTTCCTCTAAGAACGTAATATATATGTTTATAATATCAAAATGTATATATTTATTAAACTTAAATATAATTAAATATAAATCATATACTGTATGAGCATACTTAATTCCTCCAGTTTTGCTTTTACATTTGCACATAACTTATTTCCAGTTTCACTAAGCTCTATCAAAATCTGTTTACCGTCTTGTAGTTCTGGTTGTTTAGATAAATTAAACTCTGCCAAAGATCTATTGCTTGCCATTAACATTTCTTTCTCTGCTTCCAAATCTTTAAACTGTGTTGAAAATAAGATTTACATTAATGTATAATGCATGTAAATTCTCAATATACATTGAAATAATGGCAGGATGATATAAAAACTCACATGAAACAAAAGATACAATATCATATATAATATGTTACTATTTTGCAATAATATCACCTTAAAGTTAACAGAATAGCTCTAGGACAAATAATAGTTTACACATATTATTAAAACAAACACTGCCAAATCTACTGAAATAAACTTTTCTAAAGGCAAACAGGCAGACACTGTATCATTTTGAGAGAGTTTATAGATGATCCTTTGTGTTATGATTAGACTATGGATTTTATGCGTTTATAAACTATAGAGCTCTGTGAAATACAATGAAAGACAAAATTTTCATCAGATATAACAAGATTCTTTTTTTATTCTAAACCCAATGAGATACTTTAGAGGAAAAAGAAATTCGTACTTTTGCTCGTGTTTTTATAAATCATCTTATAACATGTTATTTTGCATAAAAATCTGCAGTCTAGTTATGATATATCTATGAGCAAATTCAAATCTTTTTAAATCATCTCAAATACGTCAACGTATGTCTAGTAGATTATAGATATAATAAAATTAACAAATGCTACAATACTAATAAAATTTACCTGCTTAATATCTTTCACAATATCCTCAAATTTGTTATCATTGTTTAATAAGTCTTTAAGTTCATCATTAGTTAAGTGTGTAAGTAAACCCAATGCTGCCGGTATATCAAGTTCTTGATTTGCTTTAAACATTCTTCAACAATTTCTAACTCTGTAAAACTATATTTAGATTCATGAATTGTTTTGTTTCAAGCATAAAGCACCATACGAGGTTACACCACAAAATGTTTATAATTTTTATTTAATAAGCAAGTTAATTATAATTATTACAATCTGATATCTATTACAACATTAATAGTTCTCGAGACGGACTGCCAAGCTTCAAAGAAATTTAAGCAGTATCAATTTTACCAGTGACTACAGATATACTAAGACTATGGATTCCATTGTTGTCGAGGAGTTATGAAAATGTGTCTTGAGAACGAGCGCCATTTGCTCTATTTTACCATAAGAGTATGAACACTTCGCACTGCAGTCACAGACGAGATACAGAAAAGGTTATTCACAGAAGTTGTTCAGTATGAAGAGGTCTATTACTTAGTAGTAACAAGTTTTTCGTAGGTGGAGTATCTTCTAAGATTTCAAAGTTAATTATGTCATTTTTATTCATGATATTAAAATATTATGGAATAAGATACTTTTATTACATAAATCGATTCTTCCAAACATTCTGCGTAATAAAGTATTAAGGTATTATGTGAAAAAGTTAATAATTCGTGACATATTTTGTGCGTGGTTTCCGTACGGATAACGGTGGCGCGGGAAACGAATGTCTACTGTATAGGAATAGACCCGAATACACCCACATGCCCCATGCAATGTAATTTTCAATCCCATGCTTCGGGGGCGTTAGGCAATGATGCCAGAATCGTGGGACGAATTACCCCCACTACTCCTTCACTCCGACCTACCATCGTCTCCCACTATGACGTACCGGCGTTTCCCACTTTACGTCCACCGTGCTGGCAGACACAAGCAATACAAGCATATCTCAGCCCTGTCGTGTGCGCAGCGCTGGCCGTCGAGAGACGGTGAGCTATAGTGGGAAAAGAGGGGGGTCTATACGTCCCACGGATTCTGCATTCGAGAGACAGCGAGGTATATTGGGAAAAGAGAGGGGCTAAACCGTACCACGCATTCTGACATCACTGCTGCCTTGGAAACTTGTTCGAATACCACACCTCTGTGACGTTAGCTGGACAACTTTAACTTTTTAACTTTTCATTATACTTACATTTAACTTTCATAGGACACATGACGAAAAACAGATATTTCTGGTTCGATTGTCTTTTCGGATGAATCAATCGATGTTAGAAAGGTATGCTAATGATTGGTAACCTAATTGATTGATTCCTCCAAAAAGACAATCAATCCAGAAATATTTGTTTTATCGACTGCAAACATGCGTTCGTACACCTGTATCCTGTATCCGCCAGATGACATCGTTCTTTCGTTTTTTATAGAAACTAAGCACCACCAAATGTTTTAATTAGGTAGCAATGACCACCAAACGATTACGCATTGATTGAGCATTTCAAAAACTGAATCCGGCGAAAAAAAATGTTTCGGCTAACTTCACGGTCAAATTTTGATCACTTAATTTAATTACAAAAGAACGCGTGACCACCAAATGTTCTAATTAGGCCACCAATGACCACCAAAGGACCTCCAATTGATTGGGTATAATGAAAAGTTAAAAGGTCATAGTTGACCCCGCCTGAATCCCAATGCGGCAGTTTTACTTTTTATTTTTAATTATTTGGTAATTTCACTTTGTAACCTTCAGTAAAATAAAAACTTAAACAATATTGATTTATGAAGCATTTAAAAAGAAGAAAATAAATGTTTTCCACTTCAATATTTAAATTTTTTATTATATACATACATGTTATGTTGTATATACATAAATTATTTTTACAACTAGATCTTATCCTTATAACCCTACTCATCACTACCCTAAATATTCGTACAAAAATCTATTAGATTTAACTGCAATAGTTTAAAAATTTCGACAGTAATGAATTTCTAAAAGTTGTTTCAGCGGTAGGGGATAGTAAATTATATTAATTAATATAGTCTATGCACAAACAAACTCTAGTGGGGTTCCGTCACATAAGTCTTCGTTGTTGAGAAAATTAACAATAAATATTTTAGAGGGCAGGGTGAGACATAATTTGAAACATGGAAGACAAGATCGGTCTAGCCGAGTCGGTTAAAGCGAGTTATCTATATATATTTATGTATTTATATATTGTTTATTCATGATTGCAGTTATTATACAGGGTGTTTCGTTTAACTGGAAACGGTGGAATATCTCATGAAGGATTAAAGTTATCAAAACAATGTTTGTACAAAAGTTGTTTGGTACAAAGGGGGACATTACGTGGTATAAATAATTTTTCTATAAGTGTAGTAATGGGCGAGGTATCAAAGTCAAGTTAATTTTTTTAAATAGAACCCTGTATTTTTTTATTCATATTATGATAGTGTTTGTTGTAACGAATACAACGAACTGCCACATGATATCATTCCCTGTAGTAGGAAGTGATAAATTAGTAAGATTTTAAGAAGTCAGTTCAACGCAAATCGGCTAGTTGAGCCCTACGTGACGAAATAGAAACAAACGATGAAACAAATGAAAACTGTACGTGTTTTGTTTTCAACAAAGAAATGGCCAACACTGAAAATAATAGTCAGTTTAAGAGTGTTTAACACACTCTTAACCACAGACGTCCGCAAACAGTGTCCACACACACTGCGCGATTGTCCCGTCCGCGAAAAATGTTCACACTGCCCGATTAATTAGATCCGCGAGTGGTTCCTCCGTTGCGTTTAACACTCTACACGTTACACAAAACTAACACTCAAAATAATTAATTTATAACTATTTAACACTAATGTTTAACATACACTAATTAATTTATAACAACTATTTATACTAATTTTTAACCTGCAATAATTAATAAAACCTATAATATTTCGTAAAACCTACAATAATTAATTTGCACTATTTGTAACAACGACGTACGCGATACTACTAAATAATCACTACCTAATCGTTAAATAAACTAAAACTTAGTTTTCCGAACATGAACTCGATTTGCTCGAAGAATGGAAAGGGCTCCGTTCGGAAAGGACGACTGATATTGTTGAACTGATCCTCTCTCGTTAGGATTGATGTGGCGTAATAGGTCGATCCCCACTCTTTCATGGTCAATACTTTTTGCCTTTTGGGAAGGAAAAGCTGCATGGGAAAGTGTTTTGGAGGTTGCGTTTCTCTTCGCATATTCTTAAAGCAACATCTGTATTTTTGTTTCATACGCCACTCGAAGCCACTTAGCCATGATGCCGAGGGTGGGCGAGTCTGGACATTAAAAAATTGTCTGTTGTCTTCTGCACTGCCACCACCCGCGGATTGCCTGTAACGTGTTACTGCCATCGACGAAGTCTTTGCCTATTGTGTTTTCGGCTGTCCCTCTTGACATTAACTTGTAAAAAGAATTTTCAACGCCGAATGCTAACTTCATGTTAGAAACGGTTCATATTACACAGAATGTAGGTATGTGTTTAACAATTTTCTTTATTTTATTTTATGTAGTTTCTTCATGCATCGTAATACAGGTGCGGCCAATTTCATCTTAGTTTCATTCTAATATCATTATATCTTTTGTATGATCCATGTTAATTGCATATTCTTCTTTTGCGGATACAAGAACCTCAAACGCTTGGAGTAAGATCGAAGTGGTAATAAAATGTGCAATGCACATAAAACATACAGTAAGTCAATATTCAATATATCAGGAATAAAGATATTATCCTATCTAGCGAAGCTTCGACATTTATGCTTCATTTATTAATCTCTTTAAATAACAAACGAAAGATGATAAAAAGTATGATTTTATTAGTTCTGTCTTTTTTATTTGCTATTATACGCAGTTTTCTGCGATGCATGTCGACTTGCTTGTTCAGAGCTTCGTAGTACAAGCGCGGCACGTAGCCAACCTACCGCGGGAGCTCCGGTCAGCTCCGCCGGCAGACTCGCGCGCAGATTGGTCAGGGTTTTTCGTTAATATCTTGTTAACAAGGCCTCAAATTACATCTTTGCTAAGGAAAAACTTGTTCCAAATCGCCTCACGAGTGTTTCATTTCAGGGTTGAGTAACATTTTTATTACACCTTGTATATAACCGGAACTCACATTTTCGTAATGAAATTTTATAAAGTTCCAAATATTGTTGTCCTATAAATTCGTAACGTTTTCAATTATTCATGTTTTAGTATTTGAGTTTCTTTTAGTAAGAAATCATGAAATTGACTGACAGATCATTGTTTCTTTACACGAGTTTTCGGCATTTGGCAGTCAATTTCATGATTCTTTACTAAGAGAAGCTCAAATATTAAAAAATAAAAAATTAAAGGCGCTATGAATTTATCAAACAACCTAATATAATAAAGTAAAATTTGGTGTCCATTTGATGGTTCCTTACGATTGTTGCTCTCGAGAATAATGGATACACAATTTCAGAGTAGCTTCGAGAAGTTTTACTCTCCAAGTGCCAATATGTAATGAAAAAACTCGTCGAGAGCTTATTATCAACTAGAACTCTCAGAATTATGTTCAGTTCAGATTTATCTGTGCTCACTTTCTGTAGTACATTTTGAAATAGAGGGAAGATAAGGTGTAATCATGTAAAAAAATGAGGAAAGTATATTATAATAATATATTTAAATGTATACAATTCTCTTAATTCGATTGAGAATAGCGCCAAGCGATCCAAAGTCACGTGACTGTCGCCATGTTCTTGATTGTTTAGCTATAATGTGTAAACTGGTGTAAACTGCATGCGCGGTAACACTTTTACGACGCGTAAACTGCGGAATAAACTTTCGGGATCCCGAGCAACACAGGAGTATCCCGATCTCGCCCGATGCCGCCCTAATCTGTCCGTCCTGACCCGAAGCTCGAGTTCCCGCGACTCGGGATTATCCGCACATCCCCACTATACCCTCTTTCCATTCAGAATACTTACCGGGTGTTCAAGAGAACTGTAGTTGTGTGAGTACACACCCAGCCAGTGTTTAATTTAACATTTTCTGAACAAAACCGTGTATAAAATTTACATTTATCTTATTGTGTAAGCTTACTACAATTTGAATAACTATAGAATAATCTCTTTACTGTGTTATTGAAGAAGTTATTTAAAAGTAGTATAAACCAGTCAAAAATATGTACCTGTAGTACATACAGTTGTGATATGGATAATGCAAGAGAAATTATTTAAAATTAACGTACGTAACATGTTTTGACATTTTGTTTCTGTTAAATTAATTATCGCTTTAATTAGGATTATGTCTGATGCCAGAAATGACACCCAGTCAAAATCGACGGTCTATTAGTAGTAGCAAAATACACATGGATCAGGATAACGGTACAGAACCACAGAAAAAGAAGCGTAGGGTATAAGTAACTATAAAAATAATATTTCGTAAAGGTGTCAATTCTTACGGAACATCCTATACATTAATGTTTGATTATCAATTTTTGTAAGAGCTGCTTATCTTGAAGTTCTTCTGAATCTCGAAATACAAAACATAAGATATCATACGCGTATATGACATAAATGTAATTGATGACTTTATAATATGAATATATGTAACTATTACAGGCAGTTATATTATTATTACTTATTATTAATTTTGCTTGCCGGCTACAAAATGGGGTTTGGCTTACAAAATAAGATTTTCCATTCATCACTGACATTTACATTATACCTATACTAATATATGTATTACTTGTACCTAAACTTTAATTACCACCTATTTTTGGTCAATCTTTTTACTTTATTCGTTCATTCCCCCAATCCCATTACACCCACCCACCCAACCGTTTTACACCTTCCCTCTTCCTTCCCTCCAATTTCCTTAACCATTCTATTACTCTTTCACTATCTTTATGGTTCCTTCCATTATCTCTTCTAATTTAGTCTAAATTGTGGTCTACCCTATAATACTTATACTGCTCATTATATTTCGAAAATAATATCCCCTCTAGTCCATTACTTTGCCAGTAGCACCACTCCAATCCTGTCTGACGTAAACCATTTCCTCTTAAATACTCTTCTCTATCTCTTCTTAACTTTGTCTGGATATATCCCCTTTTAATTTTTGTAATAAACACTGCTTCACTATCTCTTTACCCGTCCCCTTTCTTACTTACACCTCATGCAAGCACTCATATGTAATATACAGAATGTAGTCAACAACCAATAAGTTATATCTGCGGCATTATTAAGTTGAGCCCTTTGTTATAATATAGAATACATAGACATATTTTACGCAAACCACCACAAACATACTATTTATTTTAATATTAATCGAAAGGCGTTGAAATTCTTTTTTATACTGAGACAAATATTTAAAAGTTTTTAACGAACGGAAAATGTTGAAATTGTAATATTACATTGGAGTATATGAAGTAACTAAAATTTGATAGATATCTATTTAAAAATAGTGTGAAATAAATGAAAAAACATAAATTCTCACTAAATTAACACTAAATTAGTTGTATTTGTATAAAAATTTAGTTTTCCTTGCTTCTACCTATTTAAAAAACGTTCGGTTTTATATATTTTTCCGGCGAAATGTACTTCTCCAATTCTGCTTTTTACGAAGTATATTGTGGTGAAGGTTGTCAGTAAGAAACTAGAGAGGTATAAGTACTTGCAAGGAAAAGGAGAGGAGGTCGTGTGTCGGTGGGGCGTATGTGTGATGTAGGTAATATCAAGTAAGAGATTAGAATTTGAACAGTCTGTATTTGACAGTGTTAGAAATAATGTCTATGAAAATCGAGCAGTTTGTAAATGATGATTTCGAAAAGAAAACTACGAAAACATCAGGTATGGTATTGAATATTCTGTGCTAGTTTTCTACAAGGCTACCGATAACATTTTTTCAAACTAAAATCTATTTAGGTAATTGGAAATTTAAATATATATCAAAACCTGCATTCGTTATATTCAGTTACAATGTTGAAAATACGTAATATAATAGCGTGTTAAAAAATAATAATGCGTTTTAAACAGTACTTTATATACTTTTTTACAATATTTATATAGTTTTTTATTTTATAAGAGGAATTTCTTATTTCATGGTTTGTAGTTATTGTGCTGGATTAGGTTATTGAGTGACAAACGGATAACGAATTTGATGCATTTGTGTGATAGTAATGTGAATGCGTAGAACAGAATGAGGTAACAATTTTACTAAAGTTTAATGATACTTTTATTTCATTTCGGACGTAACAAAAACGTTAATAAAGGATGAAATACAAAACAAAAAATACAAACGTAAATCTGCCTGAATATCCGTTGTCTAGTGATATGTAGAGTGTAGATTGTATAGATTATTTGACAAAAAATATAATCGGAAAGAAATTTAATTCACATTATTTTGAAAACAATAAAAAGTTTACCAATCTTAAAGTATTTGCTGCATTATGACGTACATGTTCTCATATGTCATACGCGCTTAAAATCTACGTTTCAGCGATAAAATTGGAAAGACTATCGATCATGAATTTATTATGGTATGTTGACTACTTATACATATATATTTTAAGACAAGTGTTTGTGCTTAACCAGTAAGTTTGGCGTTATTATTTTCTATATTTCACGAACGTAAAATGTTTGCAGATAGACAAAAATCTTTGGTAAACAGTGTAAAGCATTTTAAAGTAAAGATGAAACGGGTCAGAATTTCATTTTTGATTATGTTTATTAGTAAATCGATTTTTTTTAAATTTTGATACAATTCTTAAATACAATAATTTATATTTGTTTTTGTACAGTATTTATTCCTATAAATGTTCACATATTAAGTAAAATTAAAATACATACACAGGTGGGATTTCTGGCCCTGAAAAAGTTGTAATTACGGATGGCATACTGGTGGGACTTTGAATTGCATGAACCATCTTGTTATTTATGAATATGTATTTATTTTATAAATCATCGAATAATATTATTTGGTTTATTGTACAATTGTATGCACAGACCATACTAATGATGTTATTAAAGGCTTAGATTATGTTTTATTATTTTGTAACGGCTAGACAGCGGCATTTTGTGCAAATTCACAACTTCCGATACTGATATCTTAAAATTAAAATGGGATTTTGAATTCTGTACAAGAGGTTTTACTGCATTTAGAATGTGACAACTGCTATGAAACTTTATTACAATCTTTATAAACATCCGCAATATAATCCGTACATCCGCTGTCTAGTAATAACAGAAATGTTGTTAAACCGAAAAGTGTTTACAGTTTTTAGCAACTCTTACTAATCGTTTTGTTACAGAACAAAAAATATTTTTGTCAGTAATAGAGAAGTAATGATTACGTATTGTTAGTAATAATGAAATTAACACATTTATTTATATTCTTCAACGTTAGCAACAGTTTGAAAATTCAATCAGACGTCACAATGTTGAGAATGTTATTAAACGTTGCCTACACACCTCATCGGTAAATATTTTTTAAATTGACAAGTCTGCTTTATGTCTTGTGTTTATAGTAACTCTTCGTGCATACATATACGCATTTGTATATAAAGAAACGATTATTAGAACTACGCAGAACACAATGATTTGAGGCGCACATAACTCAATAAGAACGTTTTTATATTTTAGTAAACAAATCAAAAAGTTGTATAGTTTTCAAGTTTGCACTTATAACATCACAAAGAAAGGTACACTCTGTAATGTAATCCAATTTCCATTACTGTGAACAGATATACGTATTTACCGAAAGTAATAATTTAAAGCTCTATCGCTCCTGAACGTAGTATATTACTGTACATGATAATACAACCTACCGAAATGCATAAAACCTTTGATAATTCAATAATACACGTTTAAACGCAATATAGGCATATACATGGATGTGTATGTAATAGATGCAGAGTTTATCTTTTTACGTAAATACTTAGAACACGACATAAATATATTACTAAATATACTTACGCAACAGTCAGTATTAATACTAGTACTAGGTTAGGAGAACGATTAATTTATAAAATTTGTATGTCAAGATATTACATAAATTGCATACTATTATTGATTGACTGCATAGGAAAAGAAGTTTTTGGAAACAGTGCAGTTTTAATAGATAAACTCGTATGAACTGAAAAAGAATTAAAAATTCTTGACAGAAATGTTTGAAGTGTGTCTAAAAGGAATTTATTGTAGCTTGCTTATATCTGAACAGGTTATCTTGCGGTACGTTTACGTAAAGTTGATTTAATCGATAACCATGTATTCGTTGATTAACGGCTTATACATATATTCTTGTGCGCAAGTGTTAGGTCGATTTTCACGGTCTGTTGCTTGACGAGCCGTACGCTACACCAGAGGTGGGCACAATTTTATTCGAATAATATGTACACAGTGAAAGGCGGTAGTATCTAAGAGCGTCATCCTAACCTCTAACCAAATAATGAGATCAAATAATTGTTTGCCAAGGTCATTCAAGGATTGGCATTATATGATTACAAAATTTGGAATTTTAACATTCAATTAATTAAAATTGATGAAGTATTTTTTTTATCTTTTATTCGTTATTCGAAACTCTTTATCCAGATAATGAATTTGCCCGTCTCTGCGCTACACGAACCACATCACGCATCGCATCGTGAAAGTGATTACATATACAGGGTGTCCCATAAAGATGGGACAATCCGCAATATGCACATTCCTTATACAAATACAAATCGAAAAGTCCTTTACCGTGCTGTAATCTGAAGTTTTGTTTCCGAAATATTAGTAGTTGAACGAACTCCAATCAGCTGAGCGATGGGCCACACGTATGCGCAGCACAGTCAAGAAGCGCACAACCCAAGTCACTGACTTCTGTTTCTTGATTGTATCTGCGCGTACGTGTGGCCAATCGTTCAGCTCATTGGAGTTCATTCAACTGCTAATATTTCAGAAATGGAGCTTCAGATTACAAAAAGGTAAAGGACTTGTTGATTTATATTTTCATGAGAAACATGCACGGTGCAGATTGTCTCATCTTTTTAAGACACCCTGTTTATGTATGTACAGCGCGAGCTTGATAGATGCACCACAGATAAATGTGTCGTAGGCATACCCCTCGCTAACACCTATTTCTCACACATACTTCCGCGCACCCCACTCTGTCGCCCAGCACGCCCAGGACGGAATAAATACGGTGTCGTGAACGTATACTATGCCCGATTTAAATGTACACGCCATTATTTCTCGAACTGATTAAAATACGAAAACATGTTTCATACAAAAGTCGTTTGTCTTTATGTAGTAAACTTAATAGAATATTGAATTTTTTTCTAAATTGTTATTTACATATATTTTAATAACAATGTATTTTTTAAAAATGGAACTGCATACCTGTGATATTGCCTATTATTAAGAATTACGAGATGAGTTGAACGACATATTGAAAGGTCTGTTTGAACAATAATTTCTTGGATAACTGTATGAACATTGCTGGAAAATCTGAAGTTCGGTTAGCATTCTTCAAATGCATATGGTCTGTTTCACGAAAGAAGATGCCTGGGAGATAGGCCTGCCTCGGCACGTGGCCTGGTGGGGATCCAATGCGAGCTGCGTATTTCATGCGACGTTGTCACGGTCTCAATGCCACTGCGTGTCTCTTTCCATCCTCCGGCACTTCGGCACGAGAGTCTCTCGCTCAGACGCTCGGTGAACCAACTTCCTTCTTTAACCTGCGATTTCCACGTGTAGCATTTAATAACCTACGTATTAAGTTAATCCCCTTTTATATGTTGTTCAATATTTGGGTACAATACATTCTTTCAAAAGAAATAAACTTTTTCTTATTCATGTATTTTAACTCTTGACGTGTGTAAACGTTTAGCGTCTCGTCAACATTCGCCGCCATTTCCAGACAATGGATGATTGACGGGCGCGTGCCGAACACAGTCCCCACTACTTGAGATTGTAGGTAGGTCTTTCTCGAGAGCTTTGTAATACGTGCGATGGAGACAGACGACCGTAGATGAGGACGCACGTCGACGTTCGAACGTCATTGGCCAAGACGCGAAGAGTGAGAGAGACACAAGCGCCGAGAAGACGTGTCCCGATCGCGACAACACCGCGAAAAGTCGGGCCTACCTCCCAGGGCTCTTCTTTAGTGGAACAGACCATAATTACTGTCATGTTATTATGGTTTGTTTCACGAAAGAAGATGCCTGGGAGGTAGGCCCGACTTTTCGCGGTGTTGTCGCAATCGCGAGACATCTACGGCACTTGTGTATTTCTCACTCTTCGCGTCTTGACCAATGACGTTCGACTGCAAAGTTTATTTCTGTTGAAAGAATGTATAGTACCCAAAAATTCAGCAACATATTAAAAGGGGATTAAGTTAATACGTAGGTTTTTAAACGCTATACGTGGAAATCGCAGGGTAAAGAAGGAAGTTGGTTCACCGCACGTCTGGATCCCCACCAGGCCACGCGCCGAGGAAGGGAAACCCCTTAGGGTTCTTCTTTAGTGGAACAGACCATAAAATATGTAGGTCCATTTAAAAAAATACATTGTTTTTAAGATCTATGTAAACAACAATTAAGAAAAAATTTCACATATTCTATGAAGTTTAAAAAATAGTAACTTTAATCACCTCAACTGTATCCATTATTTTTGCAGATATAACAAAGTTTATTCCCGAAACATATATGGTATCAAAAGGACAATTGCATAATGGTAATAATTGTACTGTAGGTCGAGAATCTTCAAAGCTTTCATAAACTCTTCCGTTCGAGCTACAGATTTTTTTGTTACATACGTCGATTCCTCGAGACATTGTAAATAAAAAAAGTATTAGGGTACAAAGTAAAAAAATTAACAATTCGTGATATATTTCAAATTTTTTTATACAAAATATCATGAAGTATTAACTTTTTTCACACAATACCTTCATACTGGATCTCGCAGAATGTTTAGAAGAATTGGTTTATGTACAATAAATATTTTCATTTCATAATATTTCAATACAATTAAAAAAGACATAATTAATCTTGAAATCTCAGAAGATCCTCTACGTACGAAAAACCTGTTGCAGCTAAGTTATAGTCCATTCCATACTAAACAATTTCTGTGAATAAACGTTTTTGATATCTCTTAAAAAAAACGGAGATAATTAAGATAATAAAAAAATGTGTACATCCTACCTACCCTATACAATACATATAGCTACGACGAGCAAGTGGACGGATGACTGACGAGGATAGCGCGCGTGTGATTGAACCTCGATAGATGCATTAATCCTGGAATTTTGGCCCCCTACCACCCCGAGAGATACATTTATTGAGGTCACACTGTAGTTCGGACACAATTTGGTTCGGTTATACCCGACAGTTGTCAGCACGGTCGTAGTTATTACAGTGGACATTCGATTCCCGCACAAGACGGGGCTGTAGAGGGCTAAATTTCCAGGAATCGTGCAAGAATCAGTGACTATATTGACTGTATATTGTGTGCCCACTACCGCAGACCACTAAAAATTCGCACTAGACAGTGATATTATCCTTTAATTCTTCAATCGTACGGGGATTGTTTACGTACGCCTTACATTTTAATTCACCTCAGAGGAAGAAATCTGAAGACGGAAGAAAAAGGGAGACGGCAGTCACTAATCTCGTCGCTCAATTGCCAGGTGCAGATTCCCACGGTGTCCCTTCGGTCAACTCGGCGCCTAAAGATCCCAGCTGATCGTCGAGAGGGAGGCCCTTATCCATCGTCTCTCTATTCCTTAGATAGAAGGCGTATTTCTTTGCGGTCCACTGAACGGTGTCTGGAGGAAAGGATTTCCTCCTGATCGCCCGTCTGGTCCTTCGCGATACGTCCCCGTAATGCGCGAGTGTTGCGTCGCGCAAAATAACACGTTTCAATTTGAATTCGAGAGTTAATATTTCCTCGGGATCCCTCTAGCAGCGCTTCAGTTTTCGACGCGGGCGTGTGCGAGTCGGCAGAGAATGGGCCGGTCCTTGGTTCTTTCGCGCCAAAGTTCAATTATGGGGCAGAAGAAACACGACGCAAAGTGCGTTGTAACAAATTATAATTAAAATAGTATCTGTTGAGACGAGCTGATGTTTAGGCCTTTGTAATTTAAGAAATGTTATTTTGAGAGTCAACTGGTGCCTTTTGCTTAAATTTATTGTTTAAGACTCAAGTACGGCAGGAGACTTCCTGGAAAGTTGTCCTGACCGTACCGTTGGGTCTTCTGTGTAGCCATCCTGGCGCTACCCTTGTTATTCCTGTGACTCCGCGTTGTCTGGCGCATCCCCTCTTTTGGGTTTTGTAGGCGTTGCGTTGGCTGGGAAAGCGTCCTAGCATTTGCGTTGGTAGGGCCCAATGCCCCACTTTTTAGTTTCCTACGGGTGGAGCGAATTTTCCTGCTTCGTAAACGGGAGATTCACGTCAACCACCGGACGCATCAGTTCGATACGATTCTCTTGAACAGTTTATAATTGACACACTCATTTTATAATAAAGTTATTAACCAGTTGCGCGGTGTGAATTCCTTTTTCTTTCCTTTGGGCAACTTCAACGTACAATTGAAGTACGAGTGACATTTCGATAAATATTGTCGAGAACACTCACCCACAGTATCAGTGATAATATAATTATTTTTGCAATAAAGAAATCGCTCCTTCTAAAGTAACAAAATGTGTCCATTGTAGGTAAACTTGGCATTCGACATCTACAGGTTTTTTTCTTCTTCTTGGGAAATGCCATCGGATACTGCCTCCGGGTGTGCATGTCAGAAGCTATTGTCGCAATGACAAAATCTCCATCGGACGACCAAAAATTTAAGGTGCGTTGAATTATTTGATGTTTTGTGTTAATATTATATTGACTACACATCCTTTTCTTTGCTTTCTATTGCTAACAAGATTCATATTTCACTGAAATGTTCTACCTGAAAACTGATAATTAAACTAGCTAACAGGCGAACGCTATATAGGACTTACATATGTATAGGGACCAGCCAGTTCAGAGATAAATTTATTTATTGTTTGTTTCAAGTGTTATTAATTTGTATGTTAATTAAATTTGTTTACCAGCAATTGTTACACACTTCAAATTACAGATCAAACGGAAAAGTGCGTAGTTACCAGTGAGAAATTATGGGGTAAGCTTATTTCTACAGTCTGTCCTGTCTATCGGATATATTATTACAACACTCAAATATTCCGATAAATATGAATGTTACCCGAAGAATATGAAGCTACGCGCTGCGATTTGTAGCCAACGCTACCGCGGGAACTCGGCTGGCAAACTCGCGCTCTGATTGGTCGGGGTTTTTCGTTAATATCTCGGTAACGAAGCCTCAGATTACATTGTTGCTAAGGAACAATTTGTTCCAATTCACCCCCCGAGTGCCCCATTTCCGTATGTCCCGTCCTCTCGTATATATATATACAGGGTGTCTCAAAAGTGTTTCTCTCCCGGGAAATAGGGGGTTGCTGGGGTGATTTGAAACTACTTTTTCCTTAGCGAAAATGTTAGCTACGGCTTTATTAACGAAAAACCCGAACCAATCAGAGTGCGAGTTTGCCGGCCGAGTTCCCGCGCTAGCGGTGGCTACGCGCTACGCTTGTACTATGACGGTCCGAACAAGCAAGTTGGCACGCATCCCAGGAAACCGCGTATAATAGCAAATAAGAAAAACATAACAAATCGAACTTTTTATCATGTTTTGTTTGTCATTTAAAGTGATGAATGAATGAAACATAAATGTAAGAAAATCATCTGTAACGTAAAAAGACGAATACACAATTATTTTAAATTGTAAATTTCCTTCTCAAATAACGTATTAACGAAAAGGTAATGTAATAGTGATCGTAGTTCGTTATTGACATAAAAATCCGTAGTTCAGTAACGGGCTAAAGTGATACTGATTACAAATAATTGTCTGTAAGAAACCCGAAGAAAAATGTACGTACTGAAACTTGTAGAAACATGACTTGAAATAAGCCATAGCTAGCGTTAAATTTAGAAAAATAATAATCACCAATAACTTAAATGAAAGTCACCGTTTCTGAAATTTACTTACAGATTGGAAACTTGTGTCATTTGGTCACTGTACCTTCTCCTTTTTTCGAGGGGATGGATTAAACAAGGTTCCCTCTTTCCCCAGAATTCCTTCGCTGCCCGGCGGCGTCGGAGGGCCATGCCCCGGCAACGCCCCTCCACTGGGCAGCCCGTTGCAGGCGGAACGAGCCTTCACTTGCCTCTCCCCCGGTGGCTGCCTGACTTGAGTGATCGGTGAAGGCTGAGGCCCCTCGTTCACGTTTCTGGCAACCGCGTTGCCCAGAGGGGTGCAACTCCGCTACAGTTGTGAGGGGGGGGGGTGCCCTGCCGATCCAGCTCTGCCATTTCCTCCCGCAGAATAACTTGCTCGCAGGAGGAGTGCGAATCGTTCCACATCTTCTCGCTACCGAACATCATCCTGATGACTCTCGACAGCGAGAGGGCCCTTCCCATTGCTCTCTCCAGGACTTCAGGAGTGACTCAAGGATTTCAGCGTGTGCTGCGTCGTGTCCTGTGCCTCCCGACAGTGATGGTACTACGCCGTTACTTCCTCTCCAGTGCGGCACAAGTACTCGCTGAAACTCCCATATTCGGTGAGCACCTGCGTCACACAATAGATGAGCCTTTCTCAGCTTCTGTCTCGCCAAGCCTCTAAGCTTGACAAGATATCCTCGACCGCACGCTTGGAGGAGATATCAGGCTCAGATAACCAAGCCTTCCACCTCTCCAGCGCGCGAACTCGAGGTCGGCCTTTAACATCTTCGACCGCCGAATAACAACTCGTGAGATCGCTGAGAGATTAAATTTATCGAATTCGATCGTTCATGATCACGTGAAACGCCTTGGTTTAATTTCAAAACTCGACATATGGGTTCTACATGTTCTTACAGAAAGAAATTTGCTCCGTCGCATTAACGTCTGTGATTTGCTTCTCAAACGTCAAGAAAATGATCCATTTTTGAAGCGAATCATCACTGGGGACGAGAAATGGGTTGTCTACAACAATGTTAAACGCAAGAGATCATGGAGTAAAAAAGATGAACCGACTCAAAGCACTTCGAAAGCCGATATTCATCAAAAAAAGGTGGTGCTGTCTGTTTGGTGGGATTTCAAGGGAATCGTTGTTCTTTAGCTTCTAACGGACAATACCACGATCCATTCTGAAGTGTACTGTCATCAACTGGACAAATTGAATGATTCACTCAAACAGAAAAGGCCAGAATTGATCAATAGAAAAGGTATAGTGTTCCACCGAGATAATGCGAGTCCTCATACAAGTTTGGTAACTCGCCAAAAGCTTTTACAGCTTGGATGGGATGTACTACCACACCCACCATATTCTCCAGATCTGGCACCTTCGGATTATTACTTGTTCCGGTCTCTACAAAATTTTTTAGACGGCAGAACCTTTACTTCAAATGAGGACGTTAAAAATGACTTGGATCAGTTTTTTGCCAACAAAGATCAGAAGTTTTATGAGCGTGGAATCATGCTACTGCCAGAAAGATGGCAAAAGGTATTGGACCAAAATGGAGAATATATAATTCAATAAAATATTTATACCCTATAAGACAATCGTCTTTCATTTTCACCAAAAAAAAAAAACAAAATTACTTTCCGAACAACCCAATACGTCCAACACATAGTTGCCATGTTCACGTGTGTCAACATTCTATGGATAGGGCTTGCGGGTGTATCGAAAGTGAGGACAGTCAGCATGCACTCACACCACTTTCCTCCCGATCCCTACGCACCACAAGTGAAAGTGGGGAACGGTTTTGAGTGGTGGTGGGGACCGCATCGTTTGTCGATTTGGTCCGCGGAACACAAGTTGGTCAGGCCTGGTGTATGTAGTCCTATATTGCCAAGTGTCATGTTAACTGTTGAGAATGCAGACGTCTGATTCCATATTTTGATACTTTTGCAGGACTTCTGTTCCTCTGAGGTATTTCTAATGTTTATTATTGTTCTCATTAGGTCTATGATTGGAGTCCACAGGATAAGTCTATCATCCTGAGTTCCTTTTTTTGGGGATACGCAGTAATGCAAATACCAAGTGGCTACATAGCTGGAGTTTGGAGTGGGCAGAAACTACTAAGCTTGGGCATGCTTGTTTGTAGTGTCTTGAATATTTTGATTCCGACTGCAGCAGAGTATGGGAATTTGATCGCTGTCTGCGTTTGTAGGGTATGCATGGGTCTCTGTCAGAGTTGCCTGTTGCCTTGTACACATACCCTTCTTTCCAAGTGGGCACCACCGGACGAGAGAGCACGACTTGGTAAGATATGCTGTAAATATCGATTATATAGTATTGCTATATCTGAAAGATATTAGTAGAGTAATTCAGTCTTAACCTGCTTTTACAATAACGCAACAGATGAGATAATGTTTCAGTCTGTTATGTATTACTTAAATGGATCGACACCATTGGAAATTTGTAAATATTGTGGTTCATTACCTTTTAACACTTCGCCGAAATAAGAGAAAAGCAATAACAAGAAGCAAGTCATGACATTTTCAAACTCAATTTTTTTTTGAAAAATGAAACTTGTACCTATGGAGAATAATTTTCATTTTTCAATTGTATTCAACCGCGCGCCAGGCAACGGAAAACGCCCTAATACTCCGTCTGTTTATTCCTCAAGTAGTACGGGGAGCGTAATCTCGATCAACTGGATAACAACCAGAAACAGAATCATAATTCACACGCGACCGCTAAAGTTTCCTTACATGAACATTCTAATGAAACCCCCGCCCTGTTTTGAAACTATATAAACCTTTTTTATATAGATATATAGATATACTGATTTTAACCCTCCGTGGGCCATAATAGTACAGTTTCTTACAGAGTAACGACGTATTATATCCGGTAAAGAATCGGTTGTATCCAGTCAGATCGGGCTTAAGTCTCTTAGTGCCTGCATTGCTATTGCGTCAACACCGAGCATTCATTTGGTAATATTACACTTAATACTTTACCGCGACAGCACGGCTGATTGTGTAATATTCAAGTAGTATTCTTTAATAAACGTGAGTAATTTTAATTTTTTTAAATTCATTGGTTTGGTAATTATTATAGTCGTAGTTGACCTTCCCCACACGATACAACTTCACCGCTCGAGTTGTATTTAAATTTATAAAACGAGTTACGAGGCTTAACTAACATTTTCTGCCGCTTCCTGATTTCGCATCAGGTTTATCTGTACAGATTTTCCACCCTCCTCACAGCTCCTCAGCTACGCGCTGAGTTCGTCTGCACAATCACATTCTAGTGATCCCCGATTTCGCATCGGCTTCGTTCACGAGTTTCACCTTCTTGCGACTCTCTGATTTCGAATCAGGTTCGTTCGCAAGTGACTCCATTCCTAGAGGCTCTTTGATTTCGAATTAGGTTCGTCCTCTCTTTCAAATATCCTAGCGGTTCTTTGACTTCGCGGCAGATTCGTCCGTGCACCTCATTAACAAACTGCTAAATCATTTTCCTTGGAAAATAGACACTCGCTGGCCATGAAAAAATGTTATCCTTCCTTTCGACTTTTTCTTGCATATAGAATCACCATACCACCATTTTCGGGAAATCCTGTATAACTTCAGAAAAGTACCTTGTTCCATGCCGAAGCGAAAGTTTGTAACACCGGTTTGACTAAAAAGATTCTGTAGCCACCTCCATTGTTTTGCATCCTCGGCGTGATGACCCTTTCTTCTGAATAAGGAGGCGCGTTAACAGCCGGGAGCAATAAAACGGTTGTCATTTATCACTAGGCAAAACAGGCACGTTACTACGGCCCGCTGAGAAGAGGGGCCCACACAGAGATAGTTGTCATTAGATATATTAGTCCTCTTTTGGAAGAGGAATTAGTCCAGAGATATTAGTCCACTTTTGGAATAAAAGTTTAACACACTGACAATTGTGAACACAGAAAAGGATATTCTAAAAACTCTTTGTTATGTGATTATTATTAAGAAGTTAACTGATGTCAAAATATAGAAAATCATTAAAGTTATCATCAGTGTTTGTGCGTCATTACCCCAGTAAGATGATAGCAAGGAAGGAATTTAAAAATAGTGAACAAAATTGAATATTGTAATCAGGACCCGATGATTATATAGGGTGGTCCACGCAACTTGTTCACCCTGAACAACTTCTAAAGTATGCATTGTATGAAAAGACGAAGCGTCGGGATTTGTTTGTCTGACAACGACAAGAGTAGTTGGTGATAGAATCTTGTCTGTACAGATTACGAATAAAGACTTATCAGACTTACTGTGTAGAGTATTTACGCATAACATAGAATCCTTCAGGACTATCATTGCAGGTGTTTAAAAAAGGATAATTCCATTTTAAAAAATGAAGTGGACCTTAACATCTCTAAAGAAAATGACATAAAAACAAAAATTTTTTGGTATCGTGCGACGCCGCTCCCCTCGAGCTGCATTCGCCATGCTCGGCGATCGTTCTCCCGGGTCCGGCGGTTCCATGCCTCCACCACGTCCGGCGGCGGGGGATGTCCCGCCCGACAGTAGGTCTCACGACGCCGATACACGTCAGCGTCTGCCTCCGTTCGCAACTCGAACGGGACAACACCCGCCAGCACAACGGCCGCTTCGTGGGAGATGGTGCGGAACCCCTGACGAGACTGATGGCCATCCTCTGCTGCAAAGTGCGGAGGACTTGCCGCCCCCAACGGCAGCGATCCATTAGCTCGTCAGCCCACACGGGCGACCCGTATAGGGCCATTGACCGCACCACCCCCGTGTATAGGCGGCGGACTCTCCCCTCCGGCCCCTCGATGTTGAGCAGGAGGCGACACATAAGGCTCGCCATTCGATCACCTGGGGAGCCAGACGGCCGAAGTGGCCCTCAAAGCGCTAGCTTTTGGGTATTTGAACCTGTCCCCGACCTCGACTCGGCTTTCCCCGACCCTGATCCGGAAGCCGGGTGGGCTCCTCGTCAGAGGCAGTCTGTGGAACCAGGCTTCTGCGGAGCAATCGCCAGTCCCAGCCCCTGGATCCTGGCGACGACGGTTGTCAACACCGCCTCCGCGCGGCGCGCGACTGCCGCCCAGTCCCTCCCGGTCACGACCACGAACGTGTCGTCCGCGTAGCAGAGCACACTCGCGTCGAGCGGGAGGGACCCCCGCAGCACCGCACGTACCCCACATTCCACAGGGTCGGACCCAGATTGGAACCCTGGGGCACTCCGCTGGTAATCCCCCTCACGAGCACCCCGTCCCGACCGGAGTACTCGATGGAGCGCTCCGACAGGTAGCTGGACAGCACGGCACGCAGGTAGGGAGGGGTCCCGTGTTCCCGGAGCCCTCCCCTAATGCAGTCCCAGGGCAAGGTGTTGAAGGCATTGGTGATGTCCAAACTCACCGCCAACACCACACCGCCCTGGGACACCGTCGAAACCGCGATGGACCTCAGCTGGTCGATCGCGTGAATCGTCGACCGTCCACCGCGGAAGCCGTATTGGCTACCAGCCAGGCCGTGCCGACCGCCAGGACAGGTCCACTGCGAGTCGGGAATTGAGCACACGCTCGAAAAGCTTCCCGACGTCGTCAAGGAGGCGTATCGGGCGGTACGCCGAAGGCGACTCTGCGGGTTTCCTCGGTTTTGGGATGAGCACCAGCCGCGCGCGCTTCCACAGAAGCGGTCATCGCCCAGTCTGCAGGCAGCTGTCCATCAGCCGCCGCAGCCTGGGCCCAAGGACGCGTAGGGCCATCACCCAAGCGTGCCTGGGTATGCCGTTGGGCCCCGGGGCCGTGTTACGGGCTGCAAGGCGTTTGACGGCATCGCCGAGCTCCCCGGCTGTGACCCTCAGATCCTCGGTCCACAACGCCGGGTCCGGCAGCTCGGGAAGGCGTGACTCCTTCGGGTTGTCCGGAAATAGGGTGTCCACCAGCCTCCCGAGCATCCGAGGGTCCATGCTCTCCGTGACCAGGGGCGTTACGGGTCGGATCCGTCTCAGGACGATCCGGTACGGCCGCCCCCACGGGTCACGGTCGAGCGAGCTGAGGAGCTCGTCCCATGCTCCGGTTTTGGCCCTCTCTATGGTCGACCGAGTCTCTCGCCCCGTCCGCTCTGTCGGTTATTGCGTAGGTTAACGCGAAGGGGCTCCGTGGTTAACTGCGTTGCATTCGTGCATTTACCGGTGGTCTGTGTATGTTCTCCGGTGGTATCAACGTGTCAGAACTCGTCCATGGACATTGACACTTCGGCTTTCGGGGTGTCTCTAACACCAACAGAGAATTCGACCATGGGAACTGACAGCCCTGCTGTCCTTTATGTACCTCTATCAGAGCGAGGGAAGATCTGCTTATGGACAGTGACAACCCTCTTGTCCTACCAGTGCATAACCCTGCTGTCTTATCAGTGCACGGCTCTGTCGTCCTACCAGTGCCTCTAGCTGCGTGAGAATCAGGTTGAACGCATTCCAAATTTGCGGTGTCTTTTTATGCCGGTAAGCGACTATATTCTGAAAGGCTTTTCACCTCCAATGAGGGTTTTTTTATGCCGTGCAATAAACTGACATTCTCTCGAACAGAGAGAAGTGTTCCACTACATATACCGAGTATCATTTATATTTCCCACACCGGACGCGCTCTCCTGTCTGTCGTAATTACTCTCAATATTAATTAAACGTTAAGGCAGGTCCAAATCTGTGCAACAGCGAGCACGAACATGCGCAACACGATGCGCGGCCAAAATCCCATCCACATTTAAGCAACATGCAACAGAATTTCTATTCAAGACCCTCAAGAAAAGTCGATTTTAACGACCCGGCGCACATTCGTAGCGCGCAAATGTTCGTCAAGACGGGAAAACACGGCTATCGCACGCACGAGAACGCTCGGCGCGCATCGTCCACGAAATTGGAAGGAGCTTTTCTATTTTTCTTGAATTAAACCATCTGTAGTTAGTCTGTCCTATATACAATGTTCATCTACCAAATAGTAAGAATATGTTTCCTGTTTCCCTGAATATGCATTAAGAAAATAATATAAATATAGTATGTATTTATACATAAAGGTTGTCATTGTTATGTAATGTATACATATTATTGAGTGTCTGATTCGATACCGGAGAGAATCGCCACGTACCGAACCGGATGCCCGGACAGTCCCGATGAGGACGCGCAATGAGAGTTATGAGGCGCGTTTTAACCGCGGACGCGCGGGTTGTAAATCAGACGTCTTAGGGTGATGAAGAGAGGCAGGGAATTGACAAAGGCGCAAACGAAATTACTTAGGAATTTCAAGGGTGCTCGGTTCCGGTGGAGATCAATTAGTGAAAGAATGATTAGCTTTCATTATCGCAGCTCCACTTGAGCGAGAGGATAGACTAGAAAGGAGCTGGAAAGACACGAAGACATTCAGAGCGCCGTAATGATTCGCGAGAGCGCGGAAAACGACAGGTTTTCGCGGGAAGACTCTCGGCAGTGGATGTTACATCCCGCGTTGCGGTCGTTACTTTATTTATAATCTTGGGTCCTCGCTCTTTTAAAGAGCTAAAGCATGCCCTGTCTAAACTTACCGGTGAAGTACGCAGTTTGGAAAGGGAACGGGAGGGATAGGAAATCACTCTCGTTTATGATAATAACAAAGATATATTCTAACAATTAAATAAAATAGAAGATAATTCTTAACTAGCCGTTGAAGGATACGAGCCGAAACCGCGAGAGAGTTTAAATTGAGAGAGTTTAACTAGATTCGTTTCATACTGGACTAAGACTGACCTAAGACTAAAGCTACTGAGCTAAAACTGAGCTAACTGATTTCTGACTTAAATCTGATCGACTGACCTCTCTTCCCGATTTCGACGATCCTTTTGTATGTTCTCCCTGCCCTTTCCTTTATTAGCAAATGTGGAGAAAACGGGGTAGCACAGGCTGTGATTCGCGGTTGTTGAGTCATCGAAGCGGAGTTTTAGAATTGCTGATGTTTCTGTCAGTGTTTCAGGTTTCACGACTCGGCGTTCAAAACCAGAGAGAAACGACTCTAACGGCTCAATAATATCCATCTTTGCTTTTGTCTTATGTATAAAACAAATTATAATTACCTATCCTACAATATCAATTTCAGACGAAAAATATTGGAAATTCAGAAATGTTTATGTAAATTTCCTATTTCATTCTGTTTTTCAAATAATTATGCAAAATAATTTTAATTTAAATTTTTATACTTCAGTAAATAATTGTTTTGGTTTTGTTTTAGGTGCATTTTCATATGCTGGAGGACAATTCGGTACTGTGATTTCTTTTCCAGTTTCTGGATTCTTAGCAACGTCAAGTATAGGGTGGCCATCTGTATTTTATGTTTTCGGAGCGTTGGGCATAATTTGGAGTATCGCTTTCTTTATTTTTGGTTCTGATAGTCCGTCCGAACATTCACGAATTTCGGAAATGGAGAAGCAATATATATTTAATAGCCTAAAAACATCAGAACAAGATGACAGCCAAACTAAAAAAATGGTAAGAGTATTTGTTTTTGGTACCAAACAATATAATTTTCAACGTATTTCATTTTCATATCAACCACTTTCAATTCCAATTACGAGTATTTTTTTAGTGAAATTGATGATTCCATGCTGAATTAAGGGTTACGATTCCGTGGCTCGTGCGTTGTGTCCGTGTTCTCACACAAGCAACGGGAACCGTGTATGTATACGCGATGCACGAGGAAGACATTCGATTTCGCAGAAACCAAAATGTGCCTCGATAATTGTACAAATGAACTTTTTACGGGTATAGAACTCACGGGTAAACTTCACTACAGGGTATAAAAACCATACGTTGAAAAAATTAGAATTTTAGAAAGTGTGCGATTCTGACAGACGTCGATTAAAGCACTCAAGATAGCTGCTCAAATCACATTTTGTCAAATATCACATGATTTAATGGTTTCCTCGTCAATAACAGAGCAGACCACCCTGCACACTACTATCACAGTATCGTGGAAATTCGATTTTTGTCAATATATCACTTCTGGAAGTCACATTTTGGTTTCTACGATTTGACGCGTTCAGACTCAGGAATATGCAGTGGTATAGCTCAAGGGTTCTCTGCTAGGGGCGCTTGTGGTATATGTTAGCTGATGTTAGCCACTTTGGCCATGTTACCACGAGCATCGATAAAACAGGAAACAGTGTCTTTGAGGGTCTTCGAGTCGAGCGGCTCGAGGCGGCTTGAGGCCAACAATTCCCTGGCTCGGCTTGGCCGGCTTGAGCGAGCCGGAATGACAGTTTTATGAGGGGTCAGTGGAAACGAGGCTCTGCCCAGCCTAACCTCGGCGAGTAGAGATGTAATCTGATATTATTTTTTTTGTATTTCTTTACTGTATTTTATTGTATTTTCTTTACTAAGTGAGTATATAATCTGATATGAAATATTTTTATAATACCAACAGCACTGTCGCTTGGTGCAGCGCTAATTTGATATTTAACTCTATTATATTTTTTTTTATTAGTTTTTATTCTTTATTAATTTTGTTGTTATTAAGTTCTAAAAGATTCTCAATTCAAATTCTGTTTCAAATTCGACTAAGTACTTGGCGGTCCGTCTCGCGGTCGAGGTTTTCCGAGTTTTCCTGAAGTCTCGCGAGATTCCGCCGTGCTCCTCGTTCCAGGAAATATCACCTGATTTTGCCAAAATCCAATCCTGGCACGCTCCTGTATCGCGCGATGACTCATTGTCAATCACCGAGTTGTGCAAACAAGGACTCTCGGTGCTCGAGCATTCTCCTACGCCGAGAGCTCGCAGAATAGGAAGAATACCTGTACTATTCTCACGCGCTAACTAGCACGCACATCACGTCGTTGTCGTAAAGTTTCTTTGTTGCACACGGCCAACAATTCTTATAGCACGCGCATCGCTGCAGAGTCCACGATTCTTTACTTTGTATAGTCAAATAAATGTTAGAGTGTTCGGCCAGTTATCGTAATTTCCGTGTGTTTCATTGAACTCGAACAAGAGTCCTCCTTCAACCTCCACCTTCAGCGTTGACCGATCCCAGCAACTCATTATCGAAAGTTGCGGCCAGCGGCCTGTTTCGATACAATATTCAAAACAACGCTTCTGGCTTTTGGAGATGCGAATTCGTCTATCATTTTTTACCTGCCTATACTTTCTGATATTTCATGTTCAATAGTAAGTAGTGCTAGACTACTTATTGTTAGTCCTTCCTAGAACATTGTAGATCGGAGGTAATCTGTAAGTATTTTCAGTTTTGAGAAACTTCTTTCACCAGAAGCAACGGAAATTGACAATGTTAACAATATCCTCAGGGCAATAATAAAATTTGGGCAACTAGAACTTAAATCAGCACTTACGATATTTTGTAAAATATAATTGGGATTGTTCGATAACGATGAGTCGAAAAATTTTCCGGTACGACAGTATTTCATTATACAATTGATTACCATCTAAATCCTTTTTTAACACATTATTTTCATTTGATTGTAATTTTACATCCAGATCCATCATGATTTCATTAAAGCGTCATTATCCATTCCTTAAAACTATACAAAATTATAACAAGAGATTCACATTCAGTTACTAATTCAAACCTTTCATCAAAAGAATTGCTTATGTGATCTACTATTATCGCTTTTTAAATTGGGATTCTGTTTTTCAACTTTTGTGAAACACCGAGACCGCGAAGGCGACCTTTGACCGCCCCCTAACTCGGCCGCCCACGTGCGGGGCACATGTTTGCCCTCCGCTAGGACCGGCCCTGACAGTAACTGTTCATTAACACCGTCGCCAAACGGAAGTATCCAAAGAAACTTATAAATATATTTTTCTGTTACTAGGTGAAGAAGACGCCTTGGAAAGCACTTTTCACTTCGGTACCCATGTGGGCTCTCATAATTGTTCATTGTGGTCAAAACTGGGGATACTGGACCCTAATCACGGAAATGCCAATTTACATGAACGCCGTCTTGAAATTCGATTTGCAACAGGTAATTATAAATGTATTCGAATTAATAATCAATAATACATCCAGGTGTATGTATGTCAAGAAAGCTTATCTATGTTCTACTCTTAACACTTATGGAAATGTCTTTCAAAATATACTATAGCTTCTTTTAATGTTCCAACGTCGGGTCTGGTTTGGAATTCTTATGGAACCAGTGATTAGTTGCACAAAGTCTCTTGGGAGTGGGGATTTCGGTATCCCCACCCAGGCCACAAGTACGGCCCATTAGCGCACTAGCTTTTACTTTTCGCCGGCCCAAAAGAGGCCGCATTACAACAGGTGGTTGGCTTTAATAACAATTAGTATTCCGACACACGACTATCGTCGCGTTTCGCGAGGTCTTTATAATCGGTAATGATCGGTAGCTCGCTGGTCCGTTACCACCCGAAACATTACTTTAGCCCGACGGCCAGGCGGTACGATACAATGACTGGTAGCTCGATATTACGCTACCTCAGAATACGCGATGAGTTACATTAACTTGAGTGCGCCCGTGAAGTCAAACCGCGTCCTGGAGGAATCTGCGAGGAATCTACTATGGCACATTCCACCCGACGAACACGTGCTCACGCCACGCGACAGTCTGCAATAACACACGCTACTTATGCTATCCCGACATTCCTGGCGAGTACGAGATCCAGATTTTTTACGTAGAGAAGGTGAAGGAAGCTTACCTATCGAAACCGCTAATTATTGCCGCTATCAGCTGTTCCCACTCGCTCGAGACCGTTCTCTCTTTCTAGTGCACGGCCGCTACCGCTCTCTCTTTCTAGTGCACGACTTCTCTCTCTCTCTCTCTCTCTCTCTCTCTCTCTCTCTCTCTCTCTCTCTCTCTCTCTGTGGCTCTCGCATTCTCTCTTTTCGTGGCTCTCGCCTTCTCACTCTACCTTCTCTCGTACTCGCAAACGACGCGCGTAAAGGCAGGTCCAAATCTGTGCAACGAACGCACATTGCAGAACACACTTGAAAGGATCGATTTTAATGGCTCGACGCGCAGCTAACAACTTCGTACAACGTTAAGCCGAACACGAGGATTCTGACGCGCATTGTAGAAAATCGTGTGGCGCGTGTAAATCGGTCAACGGGCCCCACAGACTTCTATACATATAATACACTAGACTGCGAGCCTGGCCGTAGCAAGTGAGGCAAATTGGTAGCGTGGGGGGGATGGCGGTCATTTGTCAATAGGTAAAACTTGCAAAACCCTTGTTACTTTTCAATATTAATAACAGTATAAATGTTATAAAATGTACGGAAAAATAGGATTGAAGTAGAAATTATTAGAGGGTTTTTGAAACGTATTTCTTATTTTGCATAATGCATATGTTTCGTGTATTTCACACTCAAAATAAAAGACCTTATGTTTTGTTCAAAACATGTATTTACAAAAGTACATATACAGAACAAATCGACCCTTCTTGAGGGTCTTGAGTGGAAATTCTGTTGCATGTTGTTTAAATGTGGACGGGATTTTGGCCACGCGCCGTGATGCGCGTGTTCGTGCTCGCTGTTGCCACAGATTTGGACTTGCCTTAACAGATGCAACCCAAGTGATTTTTCGGGATCCCGTAACGCGACGCCAGGACATGTTACGTTGTCGACATTTAATAGTAATCTACAGTTATAGTGCGATAGTTTCCTGATAAACTAAATTGATTTGTTGAGAAACTTTTTTTTTAAGAGCACGAAAGATATATACAGGACAAATAACATATGCAATAAGTTATTGCATATTTCAGAATTCTCTAATCATAAAACATATTTCTGCTCAGATCCTATTGCTCTATCCGATTTCTATAAAAATATGCATTTGCATAAACATCCGGGGTCTAATTATTAATGTTTTCTAAATGCGTATTGTGAGATTTGTACACTTTATTTATTTTACACGGGACTAGGGAGGAAATAATACCGCCGTTTTAAATACTCGAAATCGCACTCTCTTGCTATCCAATTATGACTGATTCGCTACCTGTCGGTATCCAATGTTATTCGTTACTAATGAAGCGATTCAATAATTCAATTATTATACCTTTCTGTTATATACTACACTTCTACTTGCTTCTCAGAATCTTTAATGTTACAGAATGGAATGATGTCTGCGCTACCTTATTTGACGATGTGGATTTTAAGCTTTCCAGCAAGTTTGCTATCTGACTTTGCTCTACAGAAAGGTGTTTCAAGAGGAGTTGTTCGAAAAGTTTGCAACAGTGTTGCACACTGGGGTCCAGCAGTAGCTTTAATCTGTCTTGCTACAATTCCAATACATAATGCTGCTGTAGTAGTAACTATTCTTGTAATAGCTGTAGGACTGAACGCTGGAGCTCTTTGCGGATTTCAAATAAATCACATTGATCTAAGCCCGAATTTCGCTGGTACAATGATGTCAATTACAAACTGCGTTGCGTCAGTAATTGCAATAGTTGCACCATTAATTTGTGGAGTCATCGTAACTGACGAGGTACTTTCCACCAAAATAATTTGCACTAATAATGATCACATTCACAATATCTTTTTTTTCAGGAGAATAAAACACAGTGGTCCCTAGTATTTTATCTGTCCGCTGCTGTTTATATTATAGGGAATTCAATCTTTATTCTCTTCGGTAAAGCTGAAGTTCAACCATGGAATGAAACTACGTCTTCGACGCCTAAAAAACAATCTAGAAACGAATCTGTAACAACACAGTGACAACTAAATTGTTATTACTATTCAAGGAATATATTCTTTTATATTTTGTATGTTAGATGGAGGAAATGTGTTTTTGTATTCTGAATTCACTATGTTATAATCCAATGTTATATGAAGAAAGTTATTTATGACTAGAATAAAAATTGTTTTTATTTACAAAGGTATTCCATAAACTGAAACTAGATGCAATACAACATCGCGGAACGCTGTACCGTCCTCTCCCTCCCCGCTCCTGCCCCTTGATCACCGAAATTCCTCGGCACGCATCGAAACCTATATAGAGGTTGTATGATGGCTCATTACAACAAAACCATTCTCGTAATACAAAAGGTAATACGACGGATTAAGAACCGCGGCCCGCCGGTCAAAAAAGGGGAGATTACCCGGCTAGACCACAAGGTGAGGTGGATACCGAGAATCCAGTCGGATGTACTTTATTCAGGGTGTTCGAAATATTTGTGTAATTTTGCTGCTTGTTTCCTACTGCGCTTTCCGTTCCCGTCAGGTCTCGTTTACGAGTATAGCCCGATTCCCAGTGGGTTCCGACCTAAGGCGCGTCCTGAGCGTCTGGTCCAGTGTACGCCCGCTTCTAGAGATCTGCATCGGATGGGTTGAGCCCGCCCGTCACTCGGCCATTTAATCTTCACCCGCGCTGACCCGGCTCGAACGATACCCGGCCCGCATAGGCCCGACGATGAGGGCCGCAAACCTGCCCATACCCGCCCGCATCCGTGCTTTGCCCGCTCGACCCGTGAACCCATAGAATCCGCGCTAGACCCACTTGACCCGTAGATACGCGAAAACCGATTTATCATTATATACTTCAGTTCTTCCTACATGCACTTTTATGCAAGGAAATACCATTTCTTCAATTGATTTTGTTTTAATTTTTTTATTTATTAATAATATTTCAAGGTACTTTTACAGCAATTCCAATCAATACATACATTAAAATTATGTCATTGAAATCAATCCTGTATTCTGTGATACTATTGTATAATAAAGGAGAATAATTACAACTTTTTATTAAATTTTTATATAAAAGATGTTTGTGTGGTAGTGTTTTACTGTTCCATTGTATACATTACATATTTTGAAACAAAACATGTTACAAGTATTTTTGTTGATTCTTTATTTCAAATTAAATCAAATTTCTGCATGTATCCATAATTTCATCAATTCACATTGTTTCTTCGTAAAGAGAAATAAAGTAGCTAAAGACACGAGCGCCAACGGGAAACGGCGCAGGCGCAAGTGGGAAGATCATACGCTGCGACAAATTCGGGCGAGCTTGGACGGTTAGATATATGTATATGTCGACCCGCCCGGCCCGCAACCAGGTTTGGGCGGGCGTGGGCGAAGCGAAACACGATGGGTAACGGGCGGGAAGCCCGAGTAAATCTGCCCGTTGCAGAACTCTACCCGCTTCTGCTTTCTGCGACTGTGCGTCGCTCGCGGTCCTTACCGTAGTCGCGTCTCGCCTACATTGCTGTACGCGACCATGCGTCATTCGCACTCACCCTACCGTAGTCGCCTCTCACTTCTACCGTTGTACGCGGCCTAATACCGTTCGTGGTTACGATACCGTAGTTCGTGTCTCCCTGACACTATTGTACATAACTCCACTTGTTTCGATCAATTGTACATAGCCTACCAAGACACCAGATAGTAAATAAAAGTGTATGTCAAGTCAATACGCTCGCTTATTCTTTTGGCAACCGACCCCTGGCATACCGACTGAGTCGGCAACGCCTACTCCCCTCGTACCGGCGACGCACGTCGCAACCCATAAGTGATAATTGTGAAGCATCGAATTGAATTCTGGCCAGCGTCGTTGTTCTTGCTATACAAGTATGTAATTGCTATCTTGGTCTTTGCCACGCGTCTTTCATCTGTCAATATCAGAAAACGAGACACATGGAGAGTGTATATGGTAAAGTACGAACGTAAGGTTTTATCTGTTGAGGTTACATGGTTTCAAGAAATCAGACGTACTTAAGATCAGAAAAATATATTCTACATATACAGGATGTATCAAAAACGTTGCTCAACTCTGAAATGTAATCCCAGGCTTTGTTAACGAGATATTAACGAAATATCCCGTCCAATCAGTGCGCGAGTCTGCCGGTGGAGCTCCCGCGGTAGCGTGGGCTACGCGCCGCGCTTGTACTACGAAGCTCCGGACAAGCGAGTCGGCATGCATAGCAGAAAACTGCGTATAATAGCAAATAAAAAAGACGTAACAAATAAAATCATACTGTTTATCATCTTTCGTTTGTTGTTTAAGGAGATTAATGAATGAAGCATAAATCTAGGAAAATTATATGTAATGTATAAAGACGAATGCACAGTTGCTTTTTTAAACAGAACGGAAACTAGTAATTATTTAAGGAGAGAGGCTACGGAATTTGAAAATTTCCTTTTCAAATAACGTATCAACGAAAGGGTAATGTAACAGAAAATGAACGAGAAGTGATCGTAATTCGGTTTTGGCATAAAAATCCGTAGTTTAAAAACGAGTAACAATGTTACTGGTAACGAATAGGTCTCTTTAAGAAGCCCGAAGAAAAATTTAGGTATAGAAACTTGCAAAATTATCGCCGGGAAAAAGTTATAGCCTGCGTTAATTTGAGAAAATAATAATGATAAAAAATTCACCTGCAGCTTGCAAACCTGCGTCAGTAGGTCAGTGTACCGAGCCTGGGCATCAACGGACGAAATAGTTTATGTCAGGGTAGAGTCCATGCCACAGGTGATCGCAGGTATACGACAGCAGCCGACGTCAAGAGTCGCAACGTCAAATCAGTCAGCGACAACAAGATTTAGGTAAAAAGGAACTAGCGTTCCCGGAAAACACGTGCTTTGCAGAAGTGCAACGAACGAACCGTCGTGCAGTTTCACCGAAGCACGTAAAAGGGTCCAAAGAGAAGGAGACCACTAACGTACCCATTGCTACGAGATAGAAAGCAAAAACTACGTTTTCCTCGAGGAGCAGGGAAAAAAATTTCACCCACACATATTGAGTTGACGCTATTTGGCCCTATCCGACCACCATTGTAGAGGCCGAAACAGACTTTTCGGTTATTTATGGCTCAATTTCTTCGGCCTCGTAGCAACCGTGAACTCACAACCGAATTGACAATTACCAATTTTATTACAACTCTGTGAAATTTCACATGAAGTAGTTCTCATGCAAATATTTCATACGTATTTTGTTTTAGTATTCCGTCAAATATCTCGGAAACTATTAGAAATATAATATATGCATTTTTTTAGATTTGATGTCGGTGAGCATGGATAATATGCATGGAAATACAACACATCGTCTTTTCTTTTTGTCCTCTAAATAATGTCACAAGTGTTCCGTCCTTAATATGGACTTTCTTTATTCACGGTATATTAATTTCTTTGGGCGGCTAAAATGCTACTTTCAAAATCTAGGAAATTCCTAACAACCCCTTTTGAAATAATCGGACAATAATGCATTCGGCGCGCGTATAATTGCACCTAATTCAAAGTCCCGTTACGCTAAAATAGTTTCTATGAATTCAATACCGTCCTACTTTTCGGTAATGAAGACATTTCCAAATTACGGGTTACAATGGGCCACCGTGCAGTCTCGTTATTGCTACCATTTACGATAGGGTTGTCCGCGTTTAGAGCGTTTCGGTCAGATACGTCTCACCCTAAGTACCTGTTCATATTCGGTAGTAGTACTATTATCCCAATTGCGATTTAAACTATGTGCATACTTCTTTCCAGACATAGAAAAGTAAAGGACCACTAACATCACATGTGCGTGGACTAACAACAACGGTTCTCAGAAACGCGAAATATATCATTAATACAAAAATTGAATTTTGAAAATGCTTCTCAAATTAATATCTTCGAAGCTATTATTTTACTGACATATTACAAAGTGAAATTATATAATAATTAAAAATAAAAACTAAGACGGTCGCATCGGGATTAGAACAGGGTCTTCATCATGAACGAGCGCGTGAGAAAAATCATGTATCTCTCAGCGTTTAGGACGTAAACTTTAAGTTGCTTGGGATTTGGGATTTTTGACCTGGCTTGGGCTACTCCACCGTCGCGTCGTAAACGCGTGACGTAGGACTTTTGCCGAGAACACCCGAAGCAGAGCGCACACGGACAGAGGTAGAAAACGCTTGTGGGGAGTCGCCGATTAGGACGTAGTGGGGCAGAGCTCACGGACAGGGTAGAATATGCTTGTGTAAAATACCCACGGGAGGCATGGAGAAGGTAAGCGCTCGCGCGGTTATCCCACGATTCTGGCATCACTGTCACTGGCCAGAACCAGAACGAGCAGTTAATTTCGATGCCTGCTCCAAACTATACAACTTTTCCATAAAAAATGTTTTCATACAATGTATACTTTAAAAATTATTCGGGGTGAACAAGTTGCGTGGACCACCCTGTTTATGAGTACTTTGGAGACCCTCTTCGAATCTCAATTCTCACTGCGGCGAAAATTCACGTTTTCCACTCATGATCCAAAGTGTTTCGACGCGACCCTCGGCAACTTAAGCGCGTGAGCAACAGCCAGGAGGCCCTGTTGAATGCGACGGTTTTACTTTTTATTTTTAATTATTTTGTAATTTCACTTTGTAACCCCTTAGTAAAATAAAAATTTGAAGAATATTAATTTGCGGAGCATTTTTACAATTCGTTTTTTGTTTGTTGCCCGACAACTGTTGCAGCTGGTCCACCCATATACGATGCCGAATATTCTTTTGTTTTTCGACATATAAAAAGAACAAAACACATAATTTAAATAGTAATTTTAATAACATCGGAGTCCGATCTTCGATCCTCACATGAGCGGTGTTGCCACGTTCTTCAACACAGCTAGTACCGCTAGTATGTACTAAAGTCGGTTGTGACGGGGACAATAAATAGTAAAGTAAATCCGTTATAACAAGCTCAAGTATTTTATCTAACACAAACAGATTCCGACATGCTTCTTGTGACAATTTAATTGTATGTATTCTTCTTTGCTTTTATATAGCGACCGACGAGAGATGGCCATTTTAAGTAAACTTCTAACCAGGGAATTGAAATAAAAGCATTTATTTCGTTCCTTTGATGTTTGTGGTTCAAGTATATCGAAAACTATATAGTTCTAAATATATAGTAGTTACTATTTGAAAAGTCGCGACGCTCTGTGATATCTATTATAGGAATAAGTACATCAGTATTTGAGGCTTTACATATTTAAATTAATACAAGCGAATACAGAAAACATTGAATTACTGCTGACGACAAAGCCTGTGAGTATGTTGTATCTATAATATACATATATAACCTTCTTTATGGTTGAACTCGTTGAAGGTAAATCGAAAAACAAAATTAAACATTCGATTCGTCCATTATTAAACTTGTTTATTCCATTTGACTCTTATGTTTTCTGTTGAACTTAAGACTCTATTATACAATTTTAATAGTTCACACTTCTGTAATGTAAGAGTTTTATAATAAATTTAATGTTCAGTAATAAATAATAATACATTAGTATTTTCACTAATTATATGTATTTTTAATATCTATGTAGATGTACATATACCTTCCTTATAATTCATTAATGTATTACCTTTGTAATCTGTCAGTTAGTTTAAAAATAAAACAAAGAAAATTCGCAATTATTTTAGGTTGTCACAACATTTAAAAAAGAATGAAGTTCGCTGAACATTTGTCTGCCCACATTACCCCTGAGTGGCGTAAGCAATATATTAGCTATGAGGTAAATAATGTAATAAACATATTATAACACGTTATGAACAGTATAATATTAGAAACAATTCTTTTGGATTAATAGGAAATGAAAGCAATGCTCTACACAGCTGTGGAGGAAGCACCTTCTGCTGAAAGTGTAGATCCTGAAGTCATATCACGACACTTTGCTTCCTTTGATGAGGTATTTTTTACATTCTGTGATTGTGAACTAAAAAAGATCAATACTTTTTATTCTGGTGAGTAAATTCTCTTGAAATTAATATCTAAGTTTTTATGTTTTAATATTTGTTGTCTAAATTAACGAATATATGTTTTATACAGAGAAGTTAGCAGAAGCAACACGGAAATATGCAGCACTCCAAAGTGAATTAAAAACTGCATTGGAATTGCAACAGAGTGGAGGAAAGAATAAAGGAAAGACAAATGTTAAGCCACATTTACCAACAAGAAAGCTTAGAGAACTGAAACTTGCCTTCTCTGAGTTTTATTTGTCTCTAATACTTCTTCAAAATTACCAGAACCTTAATTATACTGGATTTAGGAAAATTCTCAAGAAACACGATAAGGTAAACAAAAAGAAAATATTCCGTTCATTAACATCTGCATAGATTCTCACTCTTAATTGTCTCTTACTTCTCCAGGTTTGCAAGTTCATTTAAGCAATAAGGAAACAATTAGCATTTATCTTTTAAAGTCCCTAACATTGTTACACACAAGTAAAAGTTCACTTCTTCAGTGTTGTAGTAGCTCAAACATATATTATATAAATTACAATATTAATTTTATTCTAAATTTTAGTTGCTGTCTGTAGATACTGGATCAAAATGGAGGGTAGAATGCGTAGAAACAGCTCATTTTTACACATCCAAAGACATAGACAAGCTAATACAAGACACAGAAACTGCAGTAACAAACGATTTGGAAGGTGGAGACAGGCAACGTGCCATGAAACGATTACGTGTACCACCTCTGGGTGAACATCAAAGTCCATGGACTACTTTCAAGGTTGGGTTGTTCTCGGGTAGTTTTATTGTTCTGTTTGTAGCAGTTGTGCTCTCAGGTAATACAACCAAAAGGTAGATTTCATTAAACTGATGTTTACTCTCAGTTTTATATCAGACTATGGATGCTTATACAGATATACAATAGATTTGTATGTTCTAATTTATAGAAATTAGAATCGAACAGAAATTAGTTTACTCTATTAAGGGTACTATTAGCTCCAAACATAATCGAAAGCTCATTAAGCTTTGTGAAATAATTTTCTGTACTGAGCATACATAGATTATTTACTATAGAGTTAGTTTCTATACTTAAACTATTTTGAATTATATTTACTAGAAATTCTTTCCATTTTTCAGCAATATTTCATGATGGTGGGGAGAATTTAAAAATTGCATTTAGATTATATCGTGGACCTCTGCTCATTATACAATTCTTATTCCTCATTGGTGTAAATGTTTATGGCTGGAGATCCTCTGGTGTGAATCATGTACTGATCTTCGAATTAGACCCACGAAATCACCTCTCTGAACAACACCTGATGGAACTGGCAGCTGTTCTGGGAGTTGTGTGGACTCTTAGTTTATTGAGCTTCTTGTACAGCGTCAGTTTAAGTATTCCTCCATACGTGAATCCCTTAGCTTTAGTCTGCATCATGCTGGCGTTTCTTCTAAATCCATTAAAAATGTTTCGCCACGAAGCACGGTTTTGGTTATTAAAAATCATGGTAAGTACTAAAATGCAATATCGTACTCGTGCAATAAATTCTGTCCTTTATGTAATAGATACATTAAAATAATCTTAAGATAATCTTTTGGTATCCTATGTTTGTGAGTGAGGTTCACTATGATATACAAAAAGCTTGAAACTATTCTAGATAAGTGACTATCTTTTGTTTATACTCACTCTTTTAAATGTTCTAGCCACTCATTTATCGTTGCACGTATAACTTCTAGGGTACAGTTGCCGATTTATATCAGTCTCGATACTATGATAATGTTTAGAGTAAGTGTTTTTCCTTGAAAATGTTCCAATGTTCAAGAACACTAAGGTTTCATGATGGTCACTACTTGATTTATCATCTACAGAGGTCAGTTTATTGTATCTCCTAATAGCCTGATAAGTAAATTCTGGCGATTTATGATTCTTGTACAGCGCAATAATAGCAACAAGGTTCTTTTTGATACCTACTCATACACTACTAATAACCCTACTAATATCCCATTTCATGCTAATTCACAAAACAATGTAGCTGGTTACCGAGCTCCAAGAATTTATACAGTAGAGTCATTTTGTTTTATGGGACAGAATTTATGGCTCGACTGTATAGAAAGAAAATTAACTAATCTTTTTTTATTTATTCTTTTTAGGGCCGGGTTTTTATATCACCGTTCGCCTATGTCAACTTTGCTGACTTTTGGTTGGCGGATCAGTTAAACAGCATGGCTACAGCGTTACTAGATTTCCATTTTTTAACGTGTTTTTATATCACTAATGGAAATTGGTTGGAAGCTGGCGATACGACACAATGCATGTCTGGCTCCTTGATACTTAGACCTATTGTTAATTGCCTACCCGCGTGGTTTCGGTTCGCACAATGTATCCGACGGTACCGTGATTCCAAAGAAGCATTTCCACATCTGGCAAATGCCGGAAAATACTCAACAACGTTCCTTGTTGTAATGTCCAACACTCTATGCGTCTACCATGCTGGTAAGTTGCATACAATTTCAGGACCATGATTGTTTTCAGTTAAAACAGATTCAAGTATATATAACTATCTCGACACTTATTATCAGTCAACCGAAAACTCGTGTTCTTATATTCATTAATATTTATTCTTCTTGACTATATTGACGTATTTAGTCCATGGTTGAGTGTAATCGAACAGTATTACGCGTACGTAGTAGAGACCATAGTATTAAACGTGTAATAAAGATACATGTGTACACGTATAATTAATATATCCGTGTTTTAGTTCGGGTGGTTTTTAATATACGGGTACACGGGTATTGAAATAGAGTAAAGACGCTACAATTGCGCGAAACTCGGGACCGCATGCGCGCAATACGCGTGGGGGGTCACTATTCCCACCCCTCGTAAATTTAAAACCGAACCTCGGCAGCTGACGTTGGCATGTTGTAGAACAGCAAAGAACAGCGATCGAAAACAATAAGGGATCCACACTAATGTATCGATGAAACTTTTTATATTTCGTTTTTTCTTAATGAAACTTTTATTGACATATCGATGAATTTTTCTCAATAAAATAATACCAAACATGATATAATTTGGACCATATTTACTTATTGATCATTTATGGCACTTAATCAATATCAACAAGTAAATATAATTCAAATTATATCGTGTTTGGTCTTGTTTTAATCAGAAAAATCTCACAAATACGTTAGTGAAAGTTTAATTGAAATAAATAAAAAATAAAAATCTTTGATCCTTGCATTAGTGTTATCTCACTGTTACACTGCATTTGAATCTTTTGGGCTCTCTTCGTTGGCCGTTGGCTCGTGAAGGGAAATAAATTATACGCTTGACTGGTTTTACGGAGGATCTCCCTCAGTGTTGGGGATACCTCATGGAGAGGCAGCATGTAGGTCTTTCCGCGCAGCTAACATAACTTTACTGTACACTGTACAAAAGTACATGGGTACTGAAATACACAGGTAAGAGCCAGTTCACGTCAAACTGCACATAAACTAGAAAATATCGGTAATTATAACCGTAATTCCCCTTGCATTTTGATAAGAAATGCCTCTTACCTGTGTATCTGTGTATTACAAACTACACGGATCAAAATACGGGTATATTAACTACACATGACACGTGTATTTAGATATACATGAAATCGAGATCTCTAGTACATAGAAGAGCCATGTATTCTGTCCCAACTAAAAGCGACTTCCAGTTTTTGGTTTGTAGCATACCAAAAATTGCAACCTGTAGAATTATGCTTTCAGTTGTCGTCTATTAGTCATATACAGGGTATAACAAAAATGTTGGAGGACCGGGAAATGGGAAACTCGTGAGGGGATTTGAAACTAGTTTTTCCTTAGCAAAAATGTTATCCGAGGCTTTGTTAACGAGCCATTAACGAAAAACTCCGACCAATCAGAGCGCGAGTCTGTGGGCCGAGTTCCCGCGGTAACGTCGGCAACCAATCGTAGCGCGTACTCAACGTTACCACAGCAACTCGGCCGACAGACTCGCACTCTAATTGGTAGCGATTTTTCGTTAATATCTCGTTAACAAAGCCTCAGATAACATTTTTGCTAAGGAAAAACTTGTTTCAAATTACCTTGCGAGTCTCCTATTTCCGGGTCCTCCAACATTTTTGTTACACCCTGTATTGTATTGCTATTGTTATTATTATTATTATTGTTAAAAACAACTGTTTAAGTTGTGGCCAATTTCAGTGGAGTATCAAAGCCGATGGGAAAATCCGTGGTTGTGGCTTTGGATAATCAGCTGTTGCATCAATTCCATATATTCATTCACTTGGGATCTGAAGATGGACTGGGGCCTTTTAGACAGTAATGCGGGTGAAAACAAATTTCTACGCGAAGAAGTCGTGTATTCAGCAGCGGTAAGGACATATACACGGCGACTGTTACATGAAATCGTATGCTTTACGAATTTGTGTAACAAGACTATGCTAATCCAAATGAACTATTGAAATTGGTATGCAGACGGTTTCATAATATTTCAGACTCAGTGTAATATTTGTAAAATATATTAACATATTATTATATTACATATTACACAAGGTGTCCCACGCATATGTGGCCACCAAATTTTAAGACTTTTCTTGAACTTCACAAAAAAATGTGTTAGGCAGAACTATGTTTAAGTGTACATAACTTTCGTAAATCAAAGATCATCTACATTTTTTTGTAAATATGGATGTTACATTTTTTTTTAATGAAATTAGCATTTTTTAAATATTTTTTATTTTATGCCTTTTATAGAAAATGCTGTTTGCCAGTTGTAAGTTTACTTATGAAAAACAATTTATTTAATAACTAATTACAATGAAAATTTCGCATTTTCATGCTGTTAATAAGTTTTTCTATTAAATTTGGATTAATTTGGTCCCATGGTCTCACAATTGCTGCTTTTAATTTCTAAACTAACAAATACTTTTTATTGTTTTGATAAAGACGAGTGACGAGTATTTCCCATATATTTTCAATAAGTTTTATATTCAGAGAATGTGCCGGACATTTTCAGGTTTAGTTAACTAAACTATGTTTGTCTACTTGCATTACGGTAGATCAGGGCATTATCTTATTGAAATTTGAATGCTATTGTTCATGTTCTTAAATGTAAGAGAGGAAATATGATTGTTAATAATCCGTGATATTGTTAACTATTCATTTTTGTTAAGATGAAAGCAATTGGGTGCTTCTCAGATGCACCGAGAACTCTCCATACCATTACATTGCCTCCACAAATGTTCTGTCATAAAATAATTTTTTTTTATACATACACATATATCATGCCAATATGAATTGAAACCATCTGGTTCGTCTAAATTGAACTTCATTTTGTCGTTCTAGATGATCTAAACAATCGTAATTTTAAATTCAAATTTAAAGAAATAGTTGAAAACAAATACGTGAATCTGATGATTTTCCTGGAGAATTAGGAGAATTTTTAAGAAAAGCCTGTCCAACAAATTTTAACTTTTTTTAGATTACTAATAATCAATAGGAGTTTCTTGTAGATTTTTATGCGCTGAATAGGAATCCGCAAACCGTTTTCCGCCCCTAGGAGCACTAGTTTTTAAAAAATTTGAGTTTGAAAAAAAATGCAAGGAGCTGTTAGGCTATGGGAAGAGTCACAAGACGTGCTAAGCGTGGAAACAAAAGGGATATATGGAATTCCCCATGATTCGATATAAAAGTTTGGGGTACAATAGGTCATCCGCTCTGGCTTTTCCGACGTTCCCCTCAGGTAATCGGCTGGGGGGCAGGGGGGTTGCATGTAGCAGTTACCTGCGACCCAAGTCATATCATGATCCAACGTAGGTAGTACAGTCACGGTCGTAGCGATTATTACGTCTTGGACCGTAAATACGGTCGACATACCGTCATAAACGGGAATTCTAGATAACCGCACATCACATGCAAAACAATCGCCACCATAAGGCCGTTAAATTATTACAAATCGGCGATGACATCCAAGAATCCCAGAAACAATGCTCCTACCTCTACAACCGCATATTCCAATCAAACGTCTGCGTTTCCCACCAATCACATATCGATTCATGGCAATGACCGTCTACGCATACAGCGGCGAAGACAGTACGCTTTCATTGACGGAGGAGTGTAGTCGAGTGAGTCAAGCAGTCACTAATGTACTAGATCCTCATATCGTTGAGAAATACAGGGTGTCTCAAAAATGTTTCGACACTCGGAAACGAGGGGTTCCTGGGATGATTTGAAACAACTTTTTCCTTAGCGAAAGTGTTATCCGAGGCTTTGTTAACCAGATAATAACGAAAAACTCCGACCAATCAGAGCGCGAATTTGTTAGGCGAGTTGCCGCGCTAACTACGCGCTGCGCTTGTACTATGAAGCTCCGAACAAGCAAGTCGGCATGTATCCCAGGAAACTGCGTATAATAGCAAATAACAAAGACGTAACAAATAAAATCGAACTTTTTAGTATTGATCCTTTGTTATTTAAAGTGATTAACGAATGATGCATAAATGTAAAAAAATCATGTGTAAAGTAAAAAGACAAATTCGCAGTTATTTTTTTAAACAGAATCAGAAATAATGATTTTTCGACTTGAAAGAAATCTATTCACAAAGGCTGATCCTTCTCGATTAAAACGAAATAAGAATCAACTGAATACCATAAATAGTTTTCGGGATATAAATTCATAAGCACAAGCCATTTTCACGAAAATAATAAAGAAATTCCAGAGAGTTGTACATATTTCTGGAACAAATTCTTTCTCTTGTAAAATTGTTCGATGGTACTTCGGCAAGACACATATGTGTTAGTTAGCGTAGGTACGCAAGCACGATGATTCCACCCCTGGTACAGACTCGGTCTGTGGGTGAAGCGAAGAGTGAGCCGGTACTCACTTTGGAGACGAAGGATCGGTTGCCCCGACGACCATACTCCCTTAGCTAATTTCGCAGGTAGGGATGGGACGATCCTAGTGACTCTCCGCCCCCCGCGCGAGTACTTCCTCGCCTCCATGTGGCCCGGGCCTAAAAAAGTTGGTCGGGTTGGAAAGCCGGGGGAAATAGTCTCCCCGGGTAACGCCCACCGCAGCCCTATTGCAGGGCTGTGAGATAGCTACCGGCGTTTCGAGCCACAGCTGCGGCCTTGGGGGGGAAATCGCACTTCCCCTCCCCCAGGAGAAGCGAGCAATAACTAACTAACTAACTAGTTAGCGTAAATGTCTTTTACGTGGAGTCGCGAGCCGATACCTTGTCGGTCAGGGACCATTAGAGAATTTACAAGGGTTTCTAGATTACGTGCGATCTTGAAACAGGGTGCATGAGACGAAACAGACCTGGCGTTAACGTAAAAAGACGAATGCATATTTACTTTTTTGTAAATTCCTTTTTACGAATTTGTAAATTTCCTTTTCAAGTAACGTGTGAACGAAAAGGTAATGTAACAGAGAATGAACGAGACGTGATCTTAATTCGGTATTGGTATAAAAATTCGTAGTTTAATAACGGTCAACAATGTTACTGATAATGAATAAGTTTCTTCAAAAAGCCCGAAGAAAAAGTTAGGTACAGAAAGTTGCAGAATTATCGCCGAAAATAAGCCATAGTAACATTGTTGTCCGTTATTAAACTACGCATTTTTGTACCAATACCGAACTACGATCACTTCTCGTTCATTCTCTGTTACATTATCTTTTCGTTCACACGTTATTTGAAAAGGAAGTTTACAATTTCGTAAAAAGGAATTTACAAAAAGGAAATGTGCATTCGTTTTTTTACGTTACACATCATTTTCCTATATTTATGTTTCATTCATTAATCTCTGTAAATAACAAACGACAGATGATAAAAGATGATTTTGTTTGTTACGTTTTTTTTATTTGTTATTATACGCAATTTCTTGCGATGCATGCAGACTTGCTTGTTCGAAGTTTCATAGTACAAGCGCAGCGCGTAGCCACCACTAGTGCGGGAATTCGGCTGGCAGACTCGCGCTCTGATTGGTCGCGGTTTTTCGTTAATATCTTAGTAACGAACCTTCAGATTACATTTTTGCTAAGGAAAAAGTTGTTCCAATTCAGCCCCCGAGTGACCCATTTCCGGGTCGAGCAACATTTTTGTTACACCCTGTAAATTGTATACTAAAATATTCACTCTACATCAGTCTTGATTATCATTATTTACCGAAAGAAATCAATTGTATTGAAGAAAATACCATTTTTAGTGACCAGTAACTGTATTTTCATTTTTTATGGAGTATTCATTGTGTTCCGTTGGTTTCAGGGATTTTATTATTTCGCTATAATCGAGGACTTTATCTTAAGATTTGCGTGGATTGCTAGTTTTGGTCTTGTTGAGAGTGGCTACGTTTCCAGCGACTTAATGACATCCATTGTTGCGCCTCTTGAAGTTTTCAGGTAAGAGTTCCATTACTATTATCACTAAATCAAACAATTCGTGAAGACTACGACCTATTTTTAGTTTTTTTCGTACAGTTCCCACGTTTTGATCTAATACTCCTGGACTAGAAGCATTTCAAAAATTTTAGGTATCATGAATCGATAGCGTACCAAATTCCGAGTAAAAATTTGTTGATCTTCATACGTCCTAAACCTAATAGTTAACGAGATATTTACAAAATAATTTTTCATACGTACTTACTATCTGGTAACTATAGGTGCTCGAACTGATACCTCTCAACTTCAATACAGCGATTTCAATACAGTGATTATTTTGTAAATATCTCGTTAACTATTAGGTTTAAGACGTATGAAGGTGAACACATTTTTACTCAGAATTTGATACACTGTCGATCTATGGTACAAAAAATAGGTTATTCCGTTAAAAAACATCAAGGTGACCTTGAAATTTCTGAAATGTCTTCATCTACAAAAAAGCACGTACCTTATAAGATGTGCCCCTTGATGCCATTTAAGTTCCACGCCTAAAAATTTTCATAAAATGTACCGTTACGTCATTATTCGAGGTGATTACATTAACTGAGTCACCCTGTATATCAGGTATGATCTGAGACCAGGTTCCTGAAATATATTTTAAATACATACGAAGGAAATTTTTCAACTGACCTCAAAATATGCGTTTAATTTTAAGGTGTTTTATATACTATTTGTTTTCTTCGAGGTCATGCCAGATACATATGGCACACTCCACGTCAACAGGGACAGAAAATTTTCGATCACCTCTCCGATTTTGTTGAAGTTTTTTTTACCTGTTCCGTATGGCGTAGAAACACATGTGATTTTTTCAGATTTTTATAATTAGTTTTTCAGAAAATCCGCTTCCATTCAAACATCAATATCTTTAGTTCTGTTTAGTTTACAGACTTCGTCTTGAACTCATTTGAAAGCTCTCGAACCGCACTTTCATTTCGCATACACTAAGTTCAGTAACGATAAGGTATCACATTTGTTACAAACGCGTATATAATGACATGAAATTTTCGAAACTTTTACATCTCGATAACGTTTCGAAATAAATATGACCTGTATACAATTTTTAAAATTTCTATTGCTACACTTTAAAAGATAATAAATTCGCAAACCAATAAATAATTTTAGTAAATACTCCGTGGGAAAATATTCACATGAATGTGTAAAATCCAGATCCATAATCATAATATAAATTACATTTTATTGACATTTCATCAACAGAAATTGTGCAATATCTATTTTCGCTATTCATATTTCCTACTTTTAATTTTAAAAGTGAAAACAAATGATTACTAAAACTTGTAGAAAATTGCAGTTTTCCTAGAGATCTTTCTAATACTCTGTCTAATACTTGAGGGAAGAACAAAAGTTTTTTGTAACTGACAATAACATTTTGGGCTAACAAAATACGAAGACAATGCAAACTTTTTAAAATTTTCTGTATATCTCCCTTGAATATTTCTACTATTATGTGATACTTGAATACTAATAAAATTGGCTACTTCTAGAGATAAAAATTTCTTACACAGATTTTGAAAAGCCTGCTCGCTAAATTGACTTACCCTGAGATTTTCAATCTCAGTTTTTAACTGCATGTTTTCATTCCGTAAAACTAACAGTTCCGCTTGCAGTTTCTGCTCCTTTGTTGTTCCCAAAAACATCCATGCAGGAGTTTGTACACCAGTATCGAATCCCAATAGCCTATAACTGCTGATTCCACTACCGCTTTGATGTCCCTCTTCTTCGATACACTTAATATTAAAAAAGAAAAAAAACACAAGGTGTTAAATTTCTCGTGAAATTCGTTGCTCAATACTTTCGGTTCTCCGAATTAACGAATGAACTTCGAATTCGAATAAGGAATAGTGGGCATTTAACTTGGTTGGAATCATTTCGTCTCTCACTTGATGATCGATTGTTGCAATGAAACCGACGATATCAATATTTTACAACCGCTCTGGCATCCTGCTGCGTTGCCAAATTTGTCGTTCAGAGAATTTTAACTGTTACAACTTACCCCGTATTACAACCTGCCCCGATCTCCCCTACATCAAACAATTTAAAAATACCATCCAAGAAACTATTGGTACACTCACTTCTGATTGCCATACGCCTAAACACGCAGCAGCTTCGGCGCTCTGCGTCTATGGCACGGTTAATTATTTATTTTAAAATAATTATTAATATTAAAAGTGGGCTGGCTGGATGTACGCATTTTTTTATCACCTTACTATCTTCGTTATTTTGCGAGATATTAAGAAAGTTTATTCACAGAAGGTATTGAATATTCAAACATTTTATTAAAACAACTTTATATACACCGCATTTTCTGCGATGAAAAATATGCGAGTTAAACGCGACACCGTATGTATTCTGTTCCTTTTTTGCTAGGCGACAGAGTGAAGTGCGAGCACGTGTGTAAGAAAATACCTATGCGCGAGGAGCATTCCTATCATGCATATATTAAGCGTGCATTTATTCAATGTCTACTGTAGAGATGCTAAACTGATATGTATTCACTAGCAAGTATTCCCCTCAGGAGGTATTCCCACTAGGGAGCTGAGGCTGACACGGTCGAGCCGTTGCGAACTGACACGGGACAGCCTGAGCTCCATAGTGAGGGTACCTCTGGAAGGAAATACTAGTTTGTAAGCGCCAGTTGAGCATCTCTGGCCTACTGTAATTGGTTTTATGACATTTTTTATCGGCTGAGCTTGTTTTAAGGTTTTCCTTTTCTTCTTCAGGAGGTTCGTGTGGAATTTCTTCCGATTGGAAAACGAACATCTGAACAACTGCGGTAAATTCCGTGCCGTTCGCGATATATCAATAGCTCCAATAGAAAGTTCCGATCAGACTCAGATTGTGCGTATGATGGACGACGAAAACGGCGTACTTAACAGAGGTAAACGTAAAATAGGAGGTAAACGACAGGCGAATAACAAAGAAGACAAGCGTGCGTTGCTCAGGGAAGAAACGATAGATATAGACGTTTCGAACGCCAGTTGAAATAGATTTGAAAATTTTGCAATGGGTTCAGTAGATGTCAGTCTTGCTTACTGAAACTATCTACATATACCTCATACTTTTAAAACAGACCGCGGTTTTTTGCTTTACGAAGGCATAAACAAATGCTAAACTTATTAAAATCGTACTTTTCATGGAAAGAAACAGCTTTTATAGCATATTTGAATATACAAGATGCCATAAAATGTATGATATAGTCGATAAGAAAATGTTCAGTCTGTCAGCTGCAAAATGTAAAAAACATGTCGAAAATTGCACCGTAGTTATACATAGAACGTAGACGCTGACATGCTAATTTGAAGCATATATGTACATTCTTTTTGTGTAAGTAATACTGGAAAAAAGTTACAACTTGCTCATAGTCTCACAGTATTTACGAAAGGTAAAAGATTATAATCTTTATATTTTAATGTTATTTCAATTTAAATTATATTTCTAAAAATTATAATCTGTTAAGATTTTATTTTTTAAAACATCAGGGAATTAATAAAATACGAGAAGAATGTAGAACTTACACTACTATAAATAGACTGCAGATGTTTATGTAACTTCACATTTTAACAGATCAATTTATTAACGCTAACATTGAATGAAAATGCGTACCCTTTATTAAAACTATATTATACTAGAACAGGAATTTCCTTTTTTTACATTTGTCATATTCACACTTGACAAAAGTTCATAAACATCCGTAGTCTAGTTATAATATATTTTCAGAATAGTTTAATCAGTTTTATCTTAAAGTCATTGGTATATACAGATTATGCAACATTTTGTCATCCTTGTTAATGATAAACTAAATTTTTCTGCTGCTCATGCATTACCTGACGCAAGCAACGTCAAATTTGCTTGTGAGCTAAAATAATCAATGAATTGTTACTGTTTTCCATTACATAATAACAAGTACTTGACATTACTCGAATGGTAGCATTTTTATAAAACTATTTCCATAAGATCGGTGCTTCTGAAATTTAAAGGAGTCAACAATAGTACATAAAATTGTATGTTCTGTACTCGTTGCTTAGAAGATAAGCAACGAACTCTGATTAAACTCTTTTGCAAATTTTGTACAAAAAAATGAAATTATGGCTAAGAAATTAAAAAGTTTCTGTCTAATTTTATTCCTTCGATTTCGACTTTACGGGACATATTTTTCTGCGACATGATATGTCAATGTTAGAAGTCAAATTCCAATTTAGAAATCAATTGTGATGATTTTACAATGTATTTTTGTATACTTCGTTATATAACAGTATCTTCAATAGCATATAACAGTTATTCCTATTGGAGAATAACAGATATTTTTGTATTTCGTATTCATAGTATGTATAAATAAATATATCTTTTATGATTATACAGGGTGGGCCAAATAAAATGTTATTAGTTCTTTCTTCGAAACTGTTTGAAATTCGAACATATATTTCGCGCGCCGTCGTTCAACCGAAGTTTCGCTCTCGCCGCACTCCTCGCATCTCACACATCATGCGTTCCCACCGCGCTCCTTGTGTCATATGATGGTACGCGACCAATCACCTGGTCATGCAAAAAAAAGGGCTCTCGGTGCTTAAGCATTGTCTCAAGCCTAGGGCTCGAAGAATACCGTTGGCTCAAACACCTCGCACGTGACTCACGTCGTAACTTTCATATTCATGCACGCGAATCGCGTCTTATATACAGAACCGTAACTGTGTAATTTCTGTTCTCTTTGCACGCGCATCGCGTCTTTGATCAAATTATCTGTCTGACACCAACGAAGGTGCGAGTGCGCCTCTCCAGCTTGGAAGACACGTGGACCGTTTTCCTTACAGAACACGTAGCGGCGATCAACGCCATTCCAGAGGCAAAGCGATCTACGCTCTGTACTTCATTGAAGGGCATTTCGACATCGTGGAGGGGGTGTCTGCCTAACGACGCGGGCCTTCATGATGGAATGTCTGGAGCAACTGGAGCCACGCGTGAGTTCACCTTCACTCAACTTCTCCTTGTGCCGTTGTCCCCCTTTGATGGCGACTGTAACTAGTGGGAAACGTTTCGCGACTGTTTCAAGTCCCTCATAACGGCGCACACCGAATTGTGCAATTTCATGCAAATGCATTATCTTGTATCAGTATTAACGAGTCGCGCGCTCGAAGCGGTGAAGAAAATTCCGGTCACCGCAGAGAACTTCGCGGTAATACTTGTACGCGGTAAGTTGAATATGCAGGAAGAAGAATATGCGGTCTAATTGGCAGTTCGTACCTCCTTCAAGAGGAGGCCGTTGTATCATAACATTATCGGACTCTAGTAACGGCAAATCGTCCATACATCCCATTCCATTTTGAAACTCAAAAGAATTAGAAAACGTAGTAGCTTTACATCAACGTTGGATGGCGCAAGACACTTCTCGATGTTTGATTTAGCAAACGGATTCTACCAAATACCTATTGCAAAAGAAGATCGAAGTAAAACCGCTTTTTCCACTCCCGAGGGTCATTACGAATTCGTACGCATGCTATTCGGTTTAAAAAATGCCCCAGCTACTTTCCAACTAGAGATGGCGTGCAAAATCACTAACGGTGATTTATCGCTGAATCGCAATCACGGTCGTGATTTAACTTCATTCACGACCGTGATTGCGATTTTTTTATCTTGAGTGAATTTGCTCACTGCGATCGTAAGTCCTTGATCTTTAAACAGAAAAACGTATTCAATATGATTTTACGATGAATTACATTACTATTCGCGTTTGTAAAAATCAGTAGAAAAAACAAGAAATTCTAAAAGAATGATTTGCTAGGTAACATGTAGATTATAATTTATAATCATTAATTTATTCACTATTCTTCATTGTTTCTAATTATTCCTTCACTTTATACGATATAACCACCGACTAAGTATAGAATAGACCTATCATCCAATCCTTTTTTCTGTCCCACGTTCATAGGGCTACGTAACTCTCTTACCATATTAGTGTCAATACCCGACGTTATCGATAAAGCATAAATTCTGAGTATTATCACCGACTAGGTATAGAATAGACCTATCATCCAATGCTTTTTTCTGTCCCACGTTCATAGGGCTACGTAGCCCTGTTACCATTTTAGTGTCAATACCCGACGTTACCGATAAAGCATGAATTCTGAGTATTATTAGCACAAATGAAGTGTTATATATTCCATTCATATTACGTGTATCTATATGATTTCACGAGAATAAAAATATCCGATGCTTCAGTTTAAGGTTAAGGGATAAATATGACAGTCATGAAACATGAAACGGAAAAGTATATATTTTTTCACTTAACTACAAGACAATTTATTCTAAATGCATCGTTAATGGACATTTTATTAATGTTACTTTTTACATGTTCTTGTTTTATTCGTTTTTATATCTTGCCTTACATTTGTATATTTGTAACAGATAAATTCAGAATAGATGTAGTTTCATAAATAGTTTATCAAATCTACATGTGGGAGAATATATACACCGCTTTCATTAACATCTACATATTTATAATTTATATGGGAGTGTGAATAGTTTTACTGCCTATTGTAAGAATTTTAATACGCACGAACAATTACTTTCTGGTAATTGGTAAATTTTTACATATGAATTCACTTACACGTTATTTACTTCAAAAAATTTTATTTATTGCGAGTAATTAAATAATGAATGTATGTTAATATTCAGCTACGTGTCTCTCAAATTAAGTGAAATACAGAAGTTTTATTTTATTGAAAATTAGTGTCAAAGAATGCAGCAACTGGTCAGATTAGTTTCGTAAATAAATACTAAAAAAAACTTAATTTTTACACAAATTCAATGAAATACTTTCAGGTACCCAGTTTAGGGCTATGAAATTAGAATGTTCAAGAAGAGGTAAAAAAGTTTCATATTTGCAATTATTTTGTGAAATGAATAATAAATAAGGGTCTTAGGGATTTATACTGGAGAGCTAAATCTTTAAAAGGAACATGTCGCTTAAACAAATTAGTTAAATATGATATTTATTTGGGGAATATGAACATCGTAAATAAACGACAGCGGTAGAGCGAGTTGCGGTATCGGTACTCTCCGTCGGTGTCGACGCGTACCGAACGAGGCCGAAGATGGTCGGAGCGGGCGAAAGGGAGAGAGCGAGCCGCAGTATCGGTGCTATCCGTCGGTGTCGACGCGTGCTGAGGAATTTCAGTGGTCTATGAGGGGAGGTGTGCGAGCGAAATAGTACGGTAGAGCATGCCGCGGTATCGGTGCTCTCCGTCGGTCCAACGCACTCGTGACGTTGCGTCACACAGTTTATTGACCTAGCCGTGTACGCCGTGAACCATTTTTTT